GGGTGTGTCTCACAAGAGCAGAGTAGAGGGGGAGAATCCCCTCCCTTGACCTGTTGGCCACATTTCTCTTGATGCTGGCTTTCTGGGCTGTGAGCGCACATTGCTGTCCTGTGGGTCTCTGCTGCCTCCTGGAAGGCTTCAGCATGGTAGGCTGAAGATCAGTTCAGTGATATACTTACTGCTGTGCACTAAGGGACTGATAAAGTTTTCCATCCCTAGCCATGATTTTTATTTTTCAGTGTCTTTTGTACCTGGACAGTCTCATACTCTTGAAGGCTTTTTCCGTGTGTTTAAGGAAGACAAATGCAGCATCACCGATACATCCCAGGTGAAGGCCAGAGGCTAGGACATCATCTCAGTCTTTCTGACTTCATAACTAATCTGGAGCGATAGAGGCACAACAGCCATGAAGCCCTGTAATGCCATCCTATTTTCAAAAGAATAAGGCTTTAAGGAAGGGTGATTTGGGAAGTCGAATCAAAGTGACGTGAGCGGTGCAGATGGGGAGGTCTGTGGGCTTGGAGGAAGCAACACAGGTGATTTTTATGATCTAAGAGGTGAAGTGAAAGGCAGCAGAGGGGAACTTCAGGAGATTTTTTTCATTTTTTTACCCCCAAGTGGTTTTCGTGTTCCCTATGATGTTAGTTCATTAAAACACAGATATGCAGTCCGTGGCATCTGTGCCTTTACAGAGAGAATTTCTGAGGAGTTGGTGCATTGATCCATCGAGGCTGGATCCAGGAGCATGTGCAGAGGCAGCTGAGCCCTGCAAGGAAGGAAGCGTTGGGATGAGAGCAAGTGGGCTGATTGCTTCTGGGTCTGAGCACAGTCTGTTTTCAAGGTGTTTTAAGCAAGGTAGAAGTGGACATTCTGGATGTGGAAGTCCAAAGGATGGTTGTGGCGTTGGGGACTGAGTTATAGCAAGGGAAATGTTTCCTTGGCTTTTAGTGTGGATGTGATGGGAGTTTAATCTTTGTTTTTGAGCTCGACTGATTGTCAGTTATAATGGGATGTGAAGAGGCTAAAACATTTTCCATTAGTTCTGCAAAAAAGTAATCTGGTGAGGGAAATAACTCTGAATCTCGACTAAGGTTGAACAGAATTAAGTTGCTGAGGCCCCTTGTTCTGCCCCTGGAAGGTCACAGTCTGCTGGCTCAAACTTTCCTCTACTACATGGAGCTCCCTTCTGAAAGTCAGGCAGAGAAATGCATAAAATATTGATAGATTTAATCTTACTGTGCAAATGAAGTTCAGGTTGAGCTGGTCGATTGCATTAGCTGTTGGTCTCAGTGGCTATTTCCTCCTGATAGGTTGACTTGTGACGGCTGGTGGCATTAAGAACTTAGCAAAGAGCAGAGCAGACAATAAAGTGCCCAGACCTGGAAAGAAAGAAACATATAAAAATAAGATTTTTGTATGTTTAAAAAAAACCCACAAACAAACAAAAGAAAAAGTCCTTTCTGAAAGCAAAAGGAATATTTAAGCTGAACATCATAGAAACTGTTGCAGTAGTGAGATCTAAGATTTTCTGTACAACAGTGAAGTACGTATTGTTGGAAACACCTTAGAAACTCTGCACATGGTGGGACCATCCAGCTTTGGCTTTGCTCCTGGAAATGGAGGGTGGTTTACAAGGGCTGTCGTTCCTCTTGGTGGTGCTTAGAGCGCTCGATCTGCAGCTCCCCAAAACCTAAATGATTTTAATGTAAGCTGTTGGTTGCTCTCTACCTTGTAGTAGCAGTGGTAGTGTTGTGGGCTGTGGGCTTCAGTAGAGCGAGAGGATGGCTACCCTGCCTGCCAGCTTTTTCACGCGGTATGGTTCTGCTCCAGGCTTAGCAGTGGAGGATTGTGGTTCTATAATACCACTGACAACAGATCCCACTGCTTCTTTTGGCATGCCCTTCAAACCATCTCGGCCTCAGTTTCCCAGTAATTAAAATGGGGAATCATATTTTAATTTTTTTTTTTTCAGAAGGGCTCCTGTGGATTAGTTTGTAAGTATTTATAGAAGCTTTTAATTACTTACCATTACTACTTACCACAGTAATACTTACCATTATTACTGTGTGCTCTCATTGGTAATAAATAGCAGTTTGGATCTTTGACCAGTCATGAGCTCTTTAAGCAATAACACTGGTTGAAAATTCCGAGTGACTATACTGTTTTAAAAGTCTTTGTGGTACGATGATGTTAGCCAGCAAGTTTAAGTCTCAGAGGAAAGTTTCTCTTGCCTGGTCGGGAGAAATGTCTGTTGATATTGAGACAGCTCTTTCTTTCAGATATGTGATACACTGAAATATTTTAAATTGGCTTTACCCACTTCATTTTTCTCATGCAGCAGAAGACAGATGGTATCTGCAAAATAAAGCATCTTTACTCCCTCCCTTACTTTGCTTTCCATCCCATTATCTCAGCAGCTCGTATTTGTGATGTTGTTTATCAATACATAGAAACCAGGTGCAGAAACCACGTTTCCAAGGAAGGGAGAGGTCTTAACTGATGTGGGATGTTTCTGTCATGTAACAATTGTGGTGGGCTATGTAATGTTCATCAAAGAACCACTTGAAACTCTTCTGGATTAAAAAAAAAAAAAATAAAAATCAGTGGTTCATGTTGTTGATGTTGACTTTTTCCTTTTTTTTTTTTTTTTTTTCTTCTGGGAACATACTTCACTTTGAAGGCTGGATCCAAATGTTACAATTTCCCAGAATTTCATGGGAGTTGCAGTTGTGGTCTGTGCGTGGCTCCTCCTTTGGTGGAGCAGGCAGTCACAGAACAGAGCCCTCCATCCAGAATTAGGAAATCGCTTCCCAAGTTAAAAGCAGTCTCAGAGGGCTGGCTCATTTTTCAGTGTGTGGTTGGTTAGCAAGAATTGAAGAGATAAAGTACCTGAAGTGACCAATTCACCATCCTGACACTTGCTAGATGAAGGTCCTTTACTGCAGCTTATAGATTGTGGTTTTGATGCTGCTGTAATATCCTGGCCACAGTGTCTTGAGTTTTGGGGAAGGGAACACATTGATTCCTGCAGTTTGTAGCACTGGTGACAGGCATTCTGGCTTTGCAGGCTTGCGGAAGGTCATGGTCCGTGCCCATCGGCAGGCTTGGTGCTGGCAGGACGAATGGTATGGGCTCACCATTGAGGATATCCGGCAGCTGGAGAAGGAGGCGCAGTTGATGCTGGCTCAGAAGATGGCCCAGTTCTGCGGTGAAAATGATACTGAGCAGCACGGAGTCAAAGACACTCCTGGTGAGAAGGATGTTGAAGTCAACACAGTTTCTCCTGTTGACACAGAGGACGCTGCTGGTAACAGCGAAACAGCCTCTGGGAGATCACTCACGAAGCAGTGGTCTACTTCTTCCAAGTCCTCACGATCTTCAAAGAGAGGAGGTAAGATGCTGCTGCTGACTTGCTCTTCTGAACTTCATGGAGGTTGGGCTTTTGGGAGGTAAGACCATGTCTCCTTATGGATGGCACCTTTGGGACAATGCATATTTTTCCTGTGGGTCCTTTTAACTCAGAGGCCTTCTCTGCTGGTGTTGCAGGCTCAGTCTTCTCAGGTGACCTGTTTCTAGCCATCCCATAACTGTGGCCAGTGGCACACGGCCAATCTCAAAAGCAGAGGAACTATGAACAAACAGCAGAAGAGCAGGCAGCAGCTGGCTAGCAGCGTTGGGTCTCAGAAGAAGACACACCGTAGCGCACAGAGAGTTAGTCCTTGTTACCCAAGAGCTGCTGGTGGCTTTATAAGTCCTGGTCCTTCAGTGGTGTTCCCTTTCTGGATGTCTGCTTGTCTGCTGTGTCACAAAAGTGGCCTGGCTGTGGGTCGCTGTTAACTGCCTCTTGCTTTCCAGGAGGCAGGTGCAGCGGGCACCCTGTGCTCCGCGCCGGGGTTATACGTTGCTACACGCCGTGAATTTCAGAAGCAGGCGTTTGGCTCCGTGGGTGCTGCCGTGTAGCTCGCACTGTGAAGCACCCCCATCAGCTATTGGGGAGATTAGGGAAATAGCCCCAAAAAGGTGTGTGAGGGCTGCTGCCTTCTGCTCGTGATGATGTGTGGTAGCTGCTCAGAGACCAAACCTCCCAGCCTGGGATTAGGTGGGACCGTGGATCGCATGTATATTCCTTTTTAAATACCATTTAGGAAGTTTTCAGAATTTTGCTGTTAAGCCCCCCTATGGATACTCTGTAAGGACTCAGCTCTGAGTCCTGAATTTTGTCATTCACCTCTCCCTAGGCAGTCACCTTTTTTTTTTTTTCTGTACTAAACTTTTCCCATCCTCAGACCATTCTGTACGAAAGGGTGAATTCCCAGCAAGTTACAGACAAAAAGCTTGAACCCTCAGCAGTTCCCAAGACAAAAAGCTTGAACCCTCAGCAGTTCTTCTCCTTTTTGTCAAGCGCAGCTGATAGCAGGGTAATGGCTCTCACAGCAAGAGGACAAAAAAAAAAAATCTTGAATTTTTTCTGAAAATCCCAAGGGGTGGCATTTCTTCCAGTGATGGTGGAAGGGGACATCCAGGTGAATGAAGCTTCTTCATCTCTCACATGCAGTAAATATCGTGAGTTGAGTCTCCATTTTTATTTACCGCTCCATCGCTGATTTCATCACGGAGTGAATGAGAGATGAGCAGTAGTTTTACCTTGGTGATGACTCACTGGAGCGAGCCCCGGGGAAGAACCTACCAGATGCTTCATAAATCGCTGTATAAAGATAAAAATGCTGCTACTTTGCTTGCACCAGGATTTTATATTGATGTGCCCATGTCTCATTATGCCCTTTGTTATGAACCCCCTCTTCCACTGCTGACATGTTCATTGGAAGCTGTGGTTTTCAGACCTCTTAGGATTTCAGTTGAAGATTTTCACTGGTAGCAAAGCATGAATTTCTTTTAAACTGCAGAATGTCTCATCTTTTACAAGAAAAAGTAATGAAAGAAATGAATTGTGATGTGCTGGGAAGTACGTCATGCAGATATTTTAATCCTTCTTCATGCTGGCAGCATATTAACATATGGAAGCAAGGAGGGCTGTCTTGACTTACCGCTACCTCCAGCTGAAAAAAGCAACGCCTTTTCTCCAAAAGATCTCCGTCCTTTCTGTACCATCCGAGCGAGACCTCTGATGATAGCAGGACCCTTGTCGCCATCCCATATGTTATTATATGCTCTATTTTTAGCAACTATTATGCGAGTGTCTTGACGTCACTCCAGCGTGAATTAGCTCTGCTCTGCCAACCTCCTTGCTTGCAGCTCCCTGAGGGGTGGGCGGTGGGGTAGTTGGGGGCTGCTGAGCCCATGCTGAGCTGCAATTAGATGACTCTGCACAGGGTCTCCATCCTTTTTCCATGTGACAACCGGGTAGCAAAATTAGAAGACTTTTACTTATATATTTAACACACAACAATAGCATGAAACAGCTTGCGCAGCTGTCACAGTAACCGGAGCCTTTCAGCATCTTTGTATATGCTAAATGAGAATTTGTCAGTCTCCTCAGGTTTTTGCTGTTGTTAGCTTAGGTGGCTGCTGCAAGCGCTTTGTGTGCACTGTGTGACATGCAAAGAGCCATCTGAAAGAGGGGAGAAACCTTCCCTCTCATTGTTCTCTGGACAGTGCTCCCTTCAGCAGACAGCTGTTCTGTAACAAGTTCAGCCAAGAAGAGTTCAGGCTGGCTTATTGCTAAATTATATCAGGGTGGGGGGATAAAAAAAGCCATAATATGTTTATATTTAGGGAACTCTGGAGGGGAGAATGAAAGGGAGCAGGAAGGTGTGAGAACAGGAGGGTAAACAGGAACCAAAAGGACCGTTGGGTTTTCTCCTCGCTCTGTCAGGACAGGCGCTCTGACAGTTCCCTATGAAGTAGTCGGATAGCATGTTGTTTAAATCATTCAAGTTTAAAGTTTAAATAGATCTCTAATCCAATTTGTGTGGAAGCAATTTCCTTGCAGAAAACAGATTATTTCTATCGAGGCTGCGCTGCTTAGCTACCCACCTGAAAGTTAGCAAAGCAGAGGCATGGTTTGTGTGCTGATCAGAGGCACGAAGAAAGCTTCCAATCAGCCTGCTCCTTCCTAATTGCAAACTTTAAAACCCAGCTGATTTTGCACGTCCTACTAACAATTATAAATAGCTGCCATTCAAAATAGCATAAGAGTGATACAAACAGCTTGCTTTTAATGTAGCATCTTGCTGGCAGGTTCTAACAACAGTAAACAAACAGGATCTGTAAAGCGGTACACTGACATCACACCAGCATCATCGGGGTTTTGTGTTTTTAATATTGCAGCAGTGGATTTTCATAGAGAACACACGATTCTTCCTCCAGCAAAGATCATGTTGGGAACTCTCCGTCTTGTCGATGTAGCGTATCGCATAAGGCTTTTTTGTTTTTTCCAGCAAGTCCCTCACGCCATAGTATCTCTGAGTGGAGGATGCAGAGCATTGCCAGAGATTCAGATGACAGCTCAGATGATGAATTCTTTGATGCACATGGTATGTGGAGCCTAAATCACCATTGTTTGTTTCCTGGAATGGTGGGGTAAGAGAACGGAAGGCATAAGGGTGGGGGGTAAGCGGGGAAGGAAGCGAGACTTTTTTTGCTTTGTTTGAAGTCTTTTCCTTTCCAGCCAAGATACGTGCAGCATCAGTGCAGCTTCTTCAGGCATCCCCAGCATCACCCAGCAGACTCTTACATTTAATGTAGCAGCATTTCGGATTCAGTGTGATCTATTTGAAGGGATCTTGAGCAGTCTTAACCGTTGGAACTGGGTATTTTATTTGGTGCAAATGAGTGTGGGTGAAATTCAGCAATACTAACTGGACTGTGGGTGTGTCCTAATGATTCTGATTCAGTATGACTGATTATTTTTCTAATTTATTTTTTGATCGCTGAGAGGTATTATTAATTGTCCTGTCTGGGCCTGAAGGAGACCCAGGTTTGCCTTTATTAACTCCTTATTCTCCTGTTCCCAGAAATACAATAGTGAATGCAACAAGGTACTTCAGATGCCAAAATGAATTAACGTTGATTCCAGAATTCTCAAAAGTAATTCTGACTATTCGTATTAGGAGAAGGCAGTGTTGTTTGGCTTTTTTTTTTTTTCTCTGTGCATGTGTGCTTTGTTCCACTGCACTCATTTTATATGTTGTACTTAATGCGTATTTAAGCCTGAAGGGCTCCGTCTCTACTGACAACAGATGGACTCTCCTCTCGGCTTGTAATGCTAATCTAAGTTAGATGCACAACATGCACTGATGAAGTTGGTGACCTTTCTGTGAAATGCAGTTGTTAGAAGACAATACCCCAGTTTTGTCAAGCAGAATTTCACTGATGTTCAGCTAAAGCTCAGTCTCAAAAAACCTGACAGTATTGTGTTCCAGAAGAGTTCTCACATCAACTATTTAGGCACGCGTGTCAAATTCTGGGATAGAAAGTGGCGTGCTGCTGTAAAGTAGTGACTTGCACAATAGCAGCTTAAACGGCCAGGATGCATATGTAAGTCAGGGGATGAATGTGTCTCTTGCCTGGAAGGAAACGGGCCAACTTAGTTTAAGTGTCTCTATTTATTAACTTGTGTAGCATCCACAAAAACTATGCAAGGATTTATAGTAGCAATATACATACGAGAAAAGAGGAGTGAGTCATCGAAACAGCATCATTGCTATCCACCCTCTTTTTTTGCCTTTTTAATTATTCAGTAATAAAACTGAGATAGAAACGGCTCTGCCTGGGATCCAGGCCCCCAGGGAATCCCTGACATGCTCCTAACAGGCCTGGGAAGGAGAATTAACAAAAATGAGCCTTGTGCCACAGTTGGTATCAGCACCTCTGTTGCAATACTTCTAGGAGCTTGCTAACAGAAAAAGCAGCTCCTCTTCTGCTAGCACACAGCATGTCTCCATTTACGTACAGATTGTCCTCCGCAATCTGCACAGTTGGGTTTGAAAAGTCTGCCTAGTCTGATGGGATTTTGGCTTAGGAGTTGAAATCTCGATGTGCATGCTGATCAACACAGCCCTCTCTTGGGGAGGGACCTCTTGTTGCTCCTTGGCCTACAGATGACATGTCCCAGCTCCGGGTCTGTGAGCGGGGATGAAGCACCACTCGCAGCTCATCCTGCCAGGGAGGCTCGTGGGGTCGGTACCATGGGAACTGGCACGGATCAGGATGTGAGTCAACACCAAGCAGGGTTCCTCAGAAGTGCTTCCCGCACATACACACACATTTCCTCGCAGTGCAGTGGGCGTAACCTGAGCCCGAGAAGATTTCTTGTCGCCAGCTTCCCACTCATCCTCATTCACTGGCATACTCTGGCAAAGATAGTGACAAATACAGTAATATCTAATATCTATCCTGTAATAAATGCTAATAACAGGAGTAATATCCCATTCAGTGATCACTTGAGCAGCAATAAGGGCTGTAATTAAACCTCTCAAGGAAATAAGTTTAATATTTAGATTAAGTTGCTGGAGGAGCTTTGAGTGCAATCTTCCTCTTAATTCTCCGCCAGCATGTGTGTTGCATGCTTGTGCTTTCCACTTGCTTTGAACAGGTAGCTCCGCACTCCCTTGTGCAGGGAAATGGGGATTTACTCTTTTTTTTTTTTTTTTTTTTTTTTCCCATAGCTGAAAAAGGAAATGGCATGTTGATGCAAAGTTTCCAGGTTGCTTTCTTTTTATGGTCAAAGTATAAACAGAAACTCCTAAAAATAATTGGTCTTTGCTTGACTTTGCACTTGGTCCCCTTCATTTTTTTTTTTAAGCTATTGCTCAGTTTTGCTAAAAAGATTAATATATTTCATAAGCTTTTTGTTCCACATCCTAGGATTCTTCCAACTAATTATTTTCTTAGTAACTGTACAAGCAACAAGAAAGGGGGAATGCTAGTCTGGGACTCTGAAGATTACAGCTTTTAGATCTTCAAGACATCTGTAATTACTGCTGATCTGTTTATAACTCTTTATTAAATTTACAAGCTCAAAACTTTCAGGAAAGAAATACTAAGCCCAGAACAATAAATAAATTAGAAAGCACTTAACCTCCGTAACCGTAAAAGATACATCCTCAATGTAAAAAAAGAAAATAGAAAGGAGGAAACAAAACGGAACCAGCAACCCATACCAAAGGCATCTTTGCACTGCTGATGTTCAGTCTCCTGTGGGTTCAGGTGGGAGCTCTGGGGCTCTGTTTCCTTCACAAGAACCTGCCCAGGATTAAGCACAAAACACAGAGGCTCTCTGGTGCCCTGCCCACTCGTGCTCACTTGCTCTCACCTGATACAGGAGCCGTCAGCTGTCTCAGAGGGCCTCTGGTTTCACACACACATTTTTGTGAGCCCATTCTCGGCTCCAGACTGGCCACCCTGTGCTCAGGCTTGGGCTGGGGTGAATAAGGGCTCTGCAGCCCAGCGCCATGTGGTGTGGGCACAGAGCACAAGCCTGCCTGCCCTCCTTTCTCCCCTAACCTGGCATAACTCCTCTGATACCAGCTATAGAGCAAGGCTATTAATCTGTCTTATGTTTGGATACTACTGTGGGCTGTTTTACGGGGTCTCTTCTTTATATGTCTCTTAATTATACTCAAGGAACATAATATTTTTGGGACCCTTATTCTTAATCAGCTGTAGCTGAACTGAGCCAGGGGATTCAGAAGATCCTGAGGCAGGAGGGAAATGGCAGACACATGCACTCAGTGTGATCAAACAAGTTTCGTTTCATAAGGAAATCAGGCTAAAGATAGCTTAGAGAGTTCATGTTTCCTTTATTACTCATGCCTTTTTAGGTATTCAGTCCCATTAACAATAGTGATCCTTGTCACTGCTTCCCCCAAAGACATCCCGCAGCTTTCAAACAGGTCTGGGAGATCCCAGCTGGCAAATGTTGCTTTGTCCTCTCCTGTACTGGAGCATTCTGGCTGCTTTAGTATCATCAGAAAGCACGGCAAGAAAATGTCAAACTTGTTACTTGCAGTGGTAGCATTAAAAATCCATGTTGGGTTTTTTTCCACGCTTTAAGAGTTTTAATAAACACATGCAGCTAAAATATTTTGTGTACTTCTCAAAAGGTGCTTTGGTTTCTGTATAACAAAAGCTGATAAAGTATCATGTTTTATTATGACTTAAACCATTCAAATGTTTATAAGATTATATAGAGTTATGGGATCTTTTATTTAAAATTTTTCTTCTGTGCTGTTGTCTGTGTATATATGTATATATTTGTGTGTGTGACTCTCAAAAAAAAAAAATCTGTTTTTTAAAGAGGACTTGTCTGACAATGAGGAAATGTTCCCGAAAGAAATAACCAAATGGAGTTCCAATGATCTGATGGATAAAATTGAAACCCCCGAATGCGATGATGTCCAGGGTAAATGTTTTTTTAAATAAAAACTGCATGTGATACTTTACAGTATTTCCAGGCAATTGCTACAGCCACATTCTGAAAAACTTATCCTCATCTCAACAAAAGGAGAAGCTGAGACAGAGCATAAAAATGACTGCCCGGTGCTGCTGAAAAAGAATTGCCTAGTGGGAGCTGGGATAGCTCTTGCCTCTCTTTTGTCTTCTGTGTTGGTTAGGCTGCTTTGTGCGACAGCCAAGATTCTCTCTTACAATGGTGAAATATTCCCGCTCCATCTTGAATGACTTGAATTCCTCCCGACTCTTCTTTCCTCTTGCTCCATCCTTTGTTCTTGTCTGTACCTGCCTCGGTTTTATTTTCTGCTCATCGTTATGAAATTTTGAAAGGGAACTTACACCCCAGCAGATCGATTCATGTAGCAGCACGGTGGAAGATGACACTTAGGCTTTCTGGTACAAAGTCGGTCTGTGTAGGCACAGGCATGTGAATGCATCAGACCTCTGCTCCCGCAGCATAGTTCATGCAATCCCTTTTATTTTCCCACAAACCAATCATTTCTGACAATTGTGCAGGGATTTCCCATTGTTGCCATCCTTAATAAAGGAATGACGCTGGATCGCTGTAATGAGAGCTCACTAATGTCCACAGTGCTTACCGAGGTTGTGAGAAACTGCTGGAAAATAAGTGACCCAGCATTGCCCAGGCTTCTCAGGTGGAAAGAGGCAGGAGGGAGGGAGAGGGCGATTTGATGAAATAATGAAGGATATGTGAGGCTGAGGAGGTATTGGCACAGTGTCTTTATGGAAGAGTGTCTGCCAAATAGCATCATTCAGCGCTGATGTTTTAAACCTCTGTGCTTCCAGGTGACTTGTATCACGAGACATCAGCAGAGTATCGTGTTGGCTCCAGCGTGGAGAGGCTCAGCATCATTGAAGTAAGTGGTTAGGTTTCGTGTAATGAGATCCTTTGCTGGTAGAGTATGTCCATGTGGGGTAAATGGGGTAAACTGCTCCCTTTGCTGGGAGCCATGTCTCCTCTTTGTGTGTCCTGAGCCACACCAGCATGCTGTGTACTTCATGGCTAGGTTTAAGGGATTATTAACACCTGTCTTTTGAACATCATATAGAAAATGCTCTGTAGTTTGCAGGCAGTGTCAGGTATCCAGATGGAAAAAAAAACCCAAACTAATCCTGTGGGGATAACTGCAGCCTGAGGCACTGTTGGGCAGAGCTGTCCTGCTGATGCTGAACGAGCTAGCGTGGATGCGGGAGTGGGAGAGCCACGTTACTGCAGCACCAAGGTGCAGGCTGCGGTGGTCCAAGTGACATAGCTCAGCTGTAGCCCACTCTGAGCTGCTCAGAGTGGTGTTTGGAAACCAGCTATAGCATAGTCCGTGTCAGTGCTTTGGATAAAATAATAAATAAATAATTACACATACACACCAGCTTTCTAGGTTTGCATATACAGGCTTTTGCAGTTCGGTGTCCTGGTGAGACAGTGTGTCTTGGGGTGGCTGTATCCTGCCTTTAAAGCATCTGCCTTTCTGTGCTGCAGAGATGATGTAGCTGCCTGCAGTGTGCCTAGGTTATGTCGTGGTCTATCAAAGACCATGAACGTGGTTTTAGTATTACTCCATGTGCCAGGCTGTAAGTTCATGGTGGTTTGGATTTTTTTTGTCATAGATTGAGAGCTCAAGGGCCATGGGGAGAGTGGGTGGCTGGGGATAGGAACAGCTCTAGCCACCTCAAGATAAGCAAGTCACAGCCCTAAGATTTCTCTTAGAGCTGAAGATGGTGTGGAGAACTTGTTGTCTTCTTCAGAGGGTTGTGCAAACTCAACCCTCTCCCGTTTCTGCCTTCATTTTAGAAAAAGATCAAATTTCAAAGTCAGATGAAAAAGACTTTGTAGTTGTTCACAGGCAGCCTGCTAAAATAGTATGACATTCCTAGCCACCATTGCAGTCATTTTCAGGTTAAGGGTCTCCATCACCCAAAAGGTAGTTCAGGAATCCAGTGTCTTAAGAGACTCCATATCTCATAAGAAAGTCCTAAATAGCCACCTCCACCCCTAAACTAATCAGCAGTTGCTTGCATGTTCCCCACTTCATTCAAGAGCAGAGGTTAATGAACTGAAAGGGAAAGGTGCCTCCCAATGGCTGCTGATAAACTTCTGGATGACCTGAGCTTGGTGACTCATGTTGTTCTCCAAATGAGCACTTAAAATATTTATCTGAAAGCAAAAATAGTGCTGAGATGCTGAGAGTGCACCTCCCATGCTTCCAGCCAGGCAAAAGTTCACTTTGCAGATGCTGTAAACTGGAATCGGAGAAGGTTTAAAGAGCAGGCATTAATACAGTGTAATGGTACTAAATAATTAAAAGGCTATTCTTATGCAGGAGGTCTGGAAAATCTTTATTACAGACTTGGATGTGAATTTTAATACTTCTGGTGGGCTGTGTATTAAGATGTGCTTTAACATTATCTGGTAAAAATGTAAGCTAGTTGTTAGGTTGCTAATGTGTGCCTGGGCATGCTTTCCTCCCACCAGCAGGTTTGTCAGGGACTCAGTCAGAGGACAAGAGGTGACTAAAGGTGCTAAAATTAGAAGAATTTGCCAAATGGAAAATACTGCTGCCCTCCACCCCTTCCATGCCCCCTCCCAATGGCTATTTCTCTGCCTCAACAGGGAGTTGCCCAAGATGTTCTCAAATATTGTCTCCGTGAGCACAAGGGATAAGGCACAGGAGGAAGGATCAGTACCTGCTTTCACATATCCCAGAGGTGTTGGGGTGGGGGATTTCAGTCCGTATGGGAGCCCTAAACACTGAAAGCCCTGGTAGCAAGTAGATATTAAAAATAGTTACTGCTCCATTGTGTTATGTGACCAGTACAAATGGATGCTCTGGGACCTGCTCCTGGGGCATCAGGATTGAGTTTACAGCTGTTCTGTCAGGGCCCTTGATAAACCCCCTCTGGAGTTCAGGTACAATTCCCTCCTTCCCCCAAATTACAGCCTGTCTGTTTAGGCAAGGAACTGATTCAACATAACAAGCGAATGACCAAGCCAAAATAAAAACCTTTACAGTGTTCATGTAGCAGTCTCCCACCCAGATGTTGGCCAGTCCTTGGCTCACAGGGTCTTAAAGTTTTTTATTTTCAGTTCCTCTTTAGCAACAGCATAAGCAAATCTGGTCTTATTTATAACTTCTGTTGTAGGCAAACAGATGCAGTGACTGATCTCTTCCTACAACTTCTTTCCCCAGTAACTTGCCACTTGCTGACCTGTTTGATCTCGTTTGTTAATTTTGCTGAATGTGTTTTACTGTCAACTGCTGCAGCTGAGCTCAGCACCCCAACAGAAACCAACACCCATCTTTTATTTCTTTATTTTTCCATCCTAACACAGACAGGTAATGTCTTTACTGCTGCTGTGGTTTACGTAGTTATGATTTTATGCTTTTTTTTTTTTAGCATTCCTTCAGCTTAGGACAGTCAGTTACACTGAGCACTGAGGCTGTGTGTGCACGTGTGTAGGACAAGAGACCTGAAGGAGTAGTCAGTGTCTCGGTTGTTGTATCCAGATGTTCCTGATGCCCATTTCCATAAATTAAGCACATTCCTTCTTGAAGACAGTTGAGTTTCTCACCCACGAATGTGCAGATGTTATTCTAAATCCTCATATCTCCTGTGCTTGGAAACCTGATCTTCAGTCTGCGCTTAGTCAGGATGAGTTTAGACTCTTGTGCTTGTGCCTTCGCTGTCCTTTGACTTAAGTGCCTCTCTTCCCTCCCCAGCTTTCTTTGCTCTTCGCCACTGTGTTTGAGAGCAGGCATTTCATTCTCAGGTAGCTTTGTGAAGCAAAACAAGCTGAACCCTTTCAGTCTCTGTTCAAAGTCTCCATGCTTCTTGTCCTTCTGTGGTCCTTCACGTGCAGTTATCTTTGTGTGAGGATGGCCCAAACTGAACTCAGCCTTCTAGATGGGGCCTTACTAAGGCCTGTATCATGGCTATACTGTTTCTGCTTGGAAATATCTTGTTTGATTGTTGTTTGCCTCATGCCTGACTGGACTTGATGTGGATAGTGCGTTTATTGTACACACCATGTGTGAGTTTGGAGGAGAAATGGTGATAAAATTTGCATAAAATGAACTTGGACCAAATGAAACCCCTTTGCTAAATAAGCCTTTCTACTGTGCTCTCTTTCATTCCCACCTAGGATGAATCAGTGCAGCCACTAATGCAGCCAAGTAAAATCCATGTCCTCCTCTTGGTACTCCATGGAGGGAACATACTGGACTCAGGAAGCGGTGACCAGAGCTCTAAGCAAGGGGATGTCAACACCATCACGACAGTGTTTGACACAGTGATGAGGGTACATTACCCAGCTGCTCTTGGACACATTGCCATCAGGCTAGTCCCTTGCCCAGCCATCTGCTCCGAAGCTTTTTCGCTGGTGTCCAGGTAAGCTGATGCTACTTTGTCACAGAGAGACGTGTATAAAATTTCACTCTTGTATTTTGGGGATTTTTTTTCTGCCCTGAAATGTTCTGCATGTAATATTGAACACTCTGACCACGCTCTGAGAATGCACTAGCGAGGCATTCAATTTTGATTTCATACTTAGCTGCAGTGAATATAGTAATCATGAAGCCAGAGTTCTGAGATTGATTTATTCTAATTAATCCAATAAATATTAGGGCTTTAATTCCTTGTCTGAGGGTTGTTCTGTCAATGTAAGTATGTTGTCCTTGAAGATTTACGTTTGATGGGAGGGAAAGATTTATTAAGCTCTCACCCGTTCACAGCGGAATAAATGGCCTTTCTATCTTGAAGCCTTTTTATAATGAACTGCAGTGCTGACTGTACTGTCTGCAGATGTTTTTCTCCACTCTGTATGTGAGGCTGAATATTTCCAACGTCTCTTGCCCTACCCAGCCTCAGCCCATACAGTTACGACGAAGGCTGCCTGTCCAACAGCCAGGATCACATTCCCCTTGCTGCACTCCCTCTGCTAGCAACATCCTCCCCGCAGTACCAAGAAGCAGTAGCCACAGTCATCGTCAGAGCCAACCAGGCCTACAGCGAGTTCATCAGGTCCCAGGAGGGCATGTCATTCAACGGCCAGGTGAGCCAGCAGCTGTTTATAGCCACAATGAAAGGAAGAGCAAGTGAAGCAATTTCCTTCTGAAGCTCTCTTTTCCATTAATCTCTCCGGAGGGATGGAAACATGACAGTGTTGAGCTGCAATAAGAAAGTGTTGTGCTTACATTTCTTTCTTCCTGAGAGAGAGAGATTATTGCTTATGCTCTGTCTTGAACCTTTGGGATTCAAAGCAAAGTCTGAGCTTATGTTCAGAAATGAGGCTACAAAGCTGTGAAGTTAATCAATTTTCAGCATGACACACCTTTCCAAATCAGGAATGCTACCTTTGTTATTAAACATGATCTCTGCTCCCATTGCAAAGCAAGGCTGTTTAAGCATTCCAGTCTTTAAAGGACCTTCAGCACCTTGTGCTGGAGTTGTTGCAGAAGTGGGTTTCTTTTTTGAGACTCTGCAGCTGCTGCACCCTATAAAAGGCCATGACTGAGCCTCACATCTCTGTGAGCAAAATGACTCTCTAGCACATGAGGTTTGAGCTATTGGACTAGCTGTCACAGTACTGTAGTGTGATTTATCCACCCTGAGCTTCTTCCCAGCCAGTGCTGTCCCTGGGGACCCAGACAGCCCTCTCCTACCCAGGGGTCAGTGCTTTATTGTGCCTAACTGCTCAGTACCCTTGGAGGCAGGACAGCATTATCTCCTTGGGGTACAGACAGTGGGCAGAAGCACGGGGAAGCTTGCCTGAAGTAGCATGGACAGCTGGCAAAGAGGGAATTAAGCTTGGTTCTCTGAGGCTGGAGTCAGCGCCATAGTCAGTGCTCTGTATTGGTTCCACTTTGCTCCATTTGGCTGGTGGGGACAGCCAGAACACATTAGCCATGTTAGCTAACGAGAGTCTGCAGGGTACGAGTGGATGTTCATTGACAGAATGTTTTACTGATGAAAGAACTGGCCATCCTGTTACTGCTGCTTTCCTAGGTATAATCCAGCACTGCTTTTCACTGTCATTTCTGAACTGAAGTTAAGGGGCTTTTTTCTTTTCCTCTTTCCCTACTTCTGTTGCCTTTTTCAGGTCTGCTTGGTAGGTGACTGTGTTGGAGGAATTCTGGGATTTGATGCCTTATGCTACAGCAATCAGACCGTGTCTGAGAGCCAGAACAGCAGTCGGCGAGGAAGCGTTGTGAGTGTCCAGGTAATGCTGCCTCCCGGTGCTTCCATTGCCCCTGGCTTCAGTAAGGATCTTTCCATGAAACAGCAAAGACTTGCTTCCTTATCAGTGATAAACGTGTCTTTAGGTGCATGTGTGTCTCACTTTGGGTACCTTTGCTCTGAACAGGGATGTTTCACCCTCTGGTGTGAAGCATCACCCACACCCGCTTCACCCACACCTTTAGGAAGTGGTTTGGTCTGAGGGACTGTATTGCCCTCAACTGGATCTTGGGGCAGGTGGGAAAAGGAGGATGGAAGGAGAAGGTTATTATGAGAGTGTATTCCCGATTCAACTGTCAGGGTGGTAAATCCATCTATTTCAAATCCCAGGATACCGACCTCCTGTCTCCTGGAATAACAGTGAACAACAGCTATTGTTCCAGTGGCTCTAATCTGGAAGCCAGCAGACACCTCAGCAGGAGCAACATTGATATTCCCCGTAGCAACGGAGAAGATCCAAAGAAGCAGCTGCCACGAAAAAGGAGTGATTCATCAACCTATGAACTGGACACGATAAAGCAGCATCAAGCCTTTCTTTCAAGGTAAGATTTTCAAGAACCAGCAATATTCTGGAGCTAAAATTGGTTCATCTGTGAAGCCTGAATGTTGCTTTGTCATCCTGTGATAAGCAAGTGCTTAATTTAGATGGGAGGGGTATAGATTTCAGTGTGTTGTATATGCAAAAAAACCAAAAAGATCAACAGCACTGTTGCTGAGGGTCAAAGAGAGAACCCAGCTGCTCTCCTGCATCTGTATTACAATGGCAAGAAGCCCTTCATCCTGTTGCTTGACAGCCAAGGCACTCACGTAACTGCTTTTTTGCTGTGCTTGCAAGTGTGGGATGGAGATCATAAAGCAAATGCAGAAATTGTGTGAGGGAAGACTGTGAAACAGAACTGTGAATCGAGTGTTGTATTAATTTCAAAGCATCTCTGTGAAATGTGTTCTGAGTTGGCTGGTCTGTTCTTGGGAAAGGTGTGAGCCGAGTATCCTTTCGTTTTGGCCTAATTCAAGTGTGAGATTGAATTGTGGTGCCCTTTCCAGTCAACAGAAGCAGATTTCTGCTGATGTGGTGACAGGATGCTCTGGATGAGACATCCTGAACCCGAGCTGGTTGGCTGGTTCATGGAGCGACCAACTGCACGTGAGGATTGTTCTGTCTGGGTGACTATATGGCAAAGCAACTCAAGTCCCCTGTATGGAGCAGGGACAGGGCATTTTATTCTGTCCCCTGCCAGGGCTGCTCCACTGCACCAAGGTGATGTTTCAAATTTCTCACTCACTATTGAAGCCCCCAGTATCACATTCCTAAGCTTCTTCAGATGGACTTTCAGAAACATATCCATTAACATAACCCATGAAATTTTCATAAGCAGTCTTTCCATTGCTGCTGACCATTCAGGGATCACTTCTGTAAGCCCGGAGGCTTTTTCTGACTTGAATCATCTTCAGCCTGTAGAACTGGACAGCCCAGACCTTTTCCTTCTGCAGGCCCAGAGGAACTGCAACATCTTTTAATCCCTCTTCCCCCATGTCCCTGGTACTGGGGAGCAGTGTCCCCCCCCCCCAGCAAACACCGTGATCTGCGCTGCAGTTGTGTCCAAGGCCGTTCCTTTTGCCCTGTGCCTAGCTGAAGGCTTGTCCTGTGTTTCTGCCCCTTCTTCAATACTTGCAGTCATTGTTCCAGCACAGGGGCTCGTGTTGCCCTGCCATGGCAGGGGCCATTTTGTAAAAGATTGGTAGGAGAGAGAAACTATCAAAGTGAATGTTGTTGGCGCACAGAGATGCTATATCCAGAAAGACAGCTGCATTTACAAAAACCACAATAAGCTTCTCGGCTATTTCCAGCAGGTTAATACAAGGCAATCAGCCTCTTGTTCTTACCTTATAAAACCAGCCTCCTGTATTACAGGAGAAAATATGAGTTGTGCAAAATGTGCTCTTTCTTCTCCTTGTTATTAACCTCAGGGGCATGGACTCAGCTAAGGAAGGTGGAGTAGCATCTTGATGTAGTTTTACTTTTAGTTTAGCATAAGTGCTGGGCCTGACGTGGATAATGGATTGCAGTTTGTCGTTTCAGATAGCTTTGTCCTGGTCCTTCCTTCTCCATCTCCAAAGGATTGTGCCCACTCCCACCATGAAGTACCTAGGGTTCCGTGGCAAGGGCTGTTGGTGTTCAGTGCACTGATGCATTGGTGCATCTTCTTTTAGAGTTTATATCTTTTCAAATTTACCTTTAGACCTTGAGTCAAAAATAAGTTTCTACCCATAGCTCAAGAGCAAGATTCCCTGAGGGAAAGGGGCAGGTTGAAGCTGTTGTACCATCTGTCTCCGCACCTCTCCCCCTCTGCTCCCTGGTGCAGGGGAGGCTCGGGTGCAGTGATTCACCTCTTCCCCTCCTGCATGACAGCAGGGCATCACACCCTGCCCCGGCCCTGGACCTTGTGCTTGCAGCCGTCATTACTGAGCAGCACAGTCAGCAGCAGAACGCCCCTTCAGCCTCTCTGTCACTAAGTAATGATTTTCCCATAAAAAACCAAGCCCTGATGTGACATGGCTTTGTGCAGGAGATTGACAGAGCAGAGCCAAGTTTTCCTAATGGGCTCAGCAGACGGACAACCTGGCATACAGGGGCCTTTCTGTCCGTGCCGATTGCAGGTTTCAGCTTGTGCCAAAGACACTGATTTTTATTCACGTATCGGACCTACCCGCTTCCTTGGGATAATGCCCAGCAAGCCAGAGCAGCATCTGGAGATTACAATCACACATTTATTTTTAAATTCAGTCCTTCTGCACAACTACATTATTTCTGGCTGTGCTGTACTTGTATTATTGTAAATGAGTTGATTTGCTTCTGAAATCCATAAGCTCTTGTTTAATTAATGCACACAGTACATCTGCTGCTTTTTAAAGGGAGAACAAGGCACCGTAGGTTGCTTGGAGCATGATGGATTCAGAGTTCCCCTTGGCTCTCATTTCTTTTGATTGCTAAAAAGACTATCAAGTTCCCAGTAAAAGGAAAGAAGCTATCGAAATTGCATAGCAGTATGAGTGCTCTCATTCTCTTCTGTTCCCCATGAAGAGATGCTGTGGGAAGATGGGGTGGAATACCCCAAAATCCTCTTGCACCTGTCCTGCCATAACACATCTGCCATGAGGATAATCTTTCCTTTTGTGCCTTTGTTTGAATCCCACTGTTGTCGCCCTGTCTTCAGCAAAACTGAACGTGTTCTAAATAACTTTGTATTCCTTACACACAGCAAACTTAATGTGTTGCAGTCTTGTCAGCTAAAATAATTGTAGCTTCGCTGAAGGTGGCTTGTTTTTTAAATGTGTTTCAGCGTCGCACGTCTTGGCAGTGTGATCTCAGGGAAGCTCGTTCACATCACAGAAACGGGAACATGCTCATTTTAGCTGTCTCTGCTGTAACCTCCTGTTGCTCTCCCTTTTGACATCACTGTTTTGACTTCCGTGATTTGTATGTCTGGCATAAGTCAGCTTGTCATTTCCCTGAGGTTGGTAACCAAGAGAACAGTCCCGCGCATGTGCCTGCAGGCACCTCTGGAGAATTACACCGCAGTGCTGCACGAGAAGTTTTTTAGCATCCTTTGGAAGGGATGTTCAGCAGAGATGCTGTCCCTGGGATGATGCGTTATTTGCCAAAGTAGGAAAACAAAGTCCAAGTGAAGCCCATTTTTCTTCTCAAATGTGTGAGTATCTGCAGCTGCTCGTTTATTGAGTGGCTATCCCAGAGGAGGACTGTGCCTGAGCAACTGCTCCGCTGCTACAGATGGTGGGGAGTGAGCAGCCCTGTTTCCATGAGCACAGCAGTGCCGGGATGTCGCTGCCCAGCCGGGCAGGCAGTGCTCTCCCTTCAGAAGTGGCCTTGATGAGCAAGTGCTGTTGCATACGGAGACACGGCAAGTGCCGGTGGCCACCTGGGATTTTGACTTGAGGCCACAGAGCTGGCAAGAGACTGTTGCATTTGCATCATCCCTGACTCCAGGCCCATAAACCTTTTATCCAACCCAACTGTTGTGGTATCCATTTATCCTACGTAATTTATAGAACCTGTTCAGATGCTTTTTAAAGTGTTGGCAAACACCCTGTTAAGTCACTGCTGGTACTCTGAGACTTCAACTCTCCGCTTCTAATTATAACAGTGATAACCCAGCAAGGCTGCCATCTCAATCTGCAGAACCTGGAGAGCAAAAGAAATTGCAGCTTTTTGCTTTTGGGTGGTAATAGAAGAATCTCAGAAACCCTTTTGTGAACCAGGTTATTAGTGTTAAATATCTGTCATTTTGCTGTCTAATCCCAGATCGAGACTGCAGAGAAGCACCTCGTCCTAATGTGGGGTTGGATTCCCTGGATTTTCCTTTACGTGTCCAAGGGATGTGTGAATTTAAATCTCTGTGTTAAACCTGTGTATTGCCCAGCCTGCACTGCACACAGGTTGAATTTTTGCGAACAGATAGGACACCTGAAAGAGGGAGGGAAAGCTAGATATGTTTTATATCATTATTCTTTTTAAGTACAGTTACCTGAAGTTGTTGGGCTGAGGCTGAGAGGTAGTTTGGTAATAATTCAACAGATGTGGCCTTATGGGCAAAAGTGGGAGAGTCCTGGGGGTGTGACAAATACAATTTACCACGTGGCCAGAGTTAATTACCCCAGATTCCCATTCCCAGTGAATGCCATACACATGCATGGAAGCTGTGGTGCAAACTCAGTGCACAAAGATATTAAAACCCCCTTGAAGATTTTGATCTTTCTTTTCCTCTTTCCCCTCCCTTTTTTTTTTTTTTCCCCCTTTCAATCCTATAACATTTGTCCAACTACTTCCATGAGGAAGAAATGGGTTAGCACAGCTTTCCGTAACATTTAAGAATAAGGTGATGGAAGGAACTCAAATGTTGGCAACCAGAAAGCATAGTAATAACGTGTGTAATGGAGTGAATCACTGTAAAACTGCTTTTTTTTCCCTGCTACTCTAGTAATTTTGGCTTGCTGATTATTTTATCTTGCAAATGACTGTTCTACTAAGCAGCAACCAAGATTTTGACTCTTCAAAGAAAAAACATTTTGAGGAGGTAAGTGTGTAAATGAACCCACTTGAAGCTTAGATTTGTACAGTGTAAATGATGCCGATGTAGTGGGGTCATTGTTTGGGGAACGATTTACTGGCTAGTAAAACTACACACTGAGGCATGGTGGGTTGATTGGCACAGTTCCTTCACTAAAGAGATAGAAATTATATTCACTGTCAATCACTAATCTGGCCTTCAATTATGAAAACACAGAGTGAATAAAATTTTTATTTTTCTTGTTCTTGTCCCAGTTTACATTCTAGTGTTCTGAGAAATGACCCAGGATCCAGGCGATCTAGTAGCTCTACTATGTTGGATGGAGGAAATATTGGAAAGTTTGAATTTGAGATCACTGACTTCTTCCTCTTTGGTTCTCCCTTGGGTCTGGTTCTTGCACTGCGAAAAACTGTCATTCCAGCTCTTGACAGTAAGTCCTGATGTAAACTGCTGAGCTCACTTAATGGATGGTGTAAGCACCTCCGGCTACAAGTGCAGTAATTTGATGAGATAAACTGGTGAAAACCAAACATTTCTATATAAGTTGCACCGTGAGGAAGCAGATCACTGTGTGCTCTCCCCAGTACTGATTATACAACTTATTTGCAATGTAGTTCCAAACATTAAAAATACAGGGCAATTCTTGACTCTGTAAATATTGTAATAAATTGTTTCAGTTGACTAAACTGGAAGATGAGGGAGATGATAAATCCTTAGCACTTTTTTTTTAACCCGACAGTTGTCCTTTTATATTTACAATATTCTAACAAATAACCTTTTGATACTTGAGGGTTTTTTTTTTCTTCATCTTTTTAGTCTTTCAGCTCAGGCCAGCTTGTCAGCAGGTCTATAACCTGTTCCACCCTGCAGACCCATCTGCTTCACGCCTCGAGCCTCTTTTGGAGAGGAAGTTCTACCTTTTGCCCCCCTTTAATATTCCTCGTTACCAGAGGTTTCCACTGGGTGATGGCAATTCTGCTGTTCTGGGTAAGTCACTTTGGATACATATTAGTTGTCTAAAGAGTTATATCCCCACTTTACATGAAATTATCAAAGCAATTGGGAATGACAAGAAAGAGATTTGGCCTTATAATGTCAGCCTTACTTCCCATTTATCAGAAAAGTAGTTTTCTTCCAGGAGAATCGGTGCCTTGTGACCCATACACCCTTTATTTGTCACACAAAGGCCATCAGCTGTTGAGTCATGATGTGGTAACCTCTCTGTGAAGATCCCTGATTTACACTCAAGCTGGTGCTTGTGTTTGGGACTGACTGAAACACGATTAACTTGACAGAATTTAGGACTTCGATGTTTGGAGGGCCAGTAAAAACTGGAAAGAGCAGAGTCAACAGTGAGATGATGAGATGATTTCGTTGGTTGCAACCTGTACTTTTTCATGGGACAGGCTACTGCAGGTCAGTGGGCTGGTGATGGAGCCTTGCCCTTGCCAATGAGACACTTTGTGTTCACAGGACACCTAGGATTCCTCTGCCATCGGTGGCCTCTTCACTTGCTCTACCCCAGTTGCAGCAGTAACAAAGTCTAAACTGGCTGTGTGCATGCCCTTTGTCTCACTGGGTTACATTTGAAACAACTGTGTCCTGACCATGCCCTGCCTCAGCTCCCATTACATCAATGCCCTTGCAGTTGATCTAATAAAATAAATTGTATTTCCTACCATCTTCACCTCACTTCTGTGCCTACACTCTCATGGTCTGTTGCCATTTCAGTGCAGGCTTTCATTGCAAGGAGCTTTTGGGGGAGCTCACCACTGTGCAGAACTAAATTTGACCTTTCTGCTTTACCTAAAGCTTTGGTCCCCTGTAGGGTCAGGACTTTGGGGCAGGAAGAACAATTGCACTGTAATTTTTCCCTTGCTACAGGTTGTTAGTCAATGGCTACTTAAAGTCAACATTGCAACCAAGAATCACTAATACAAAACCAGACTTACAGCACAAAAGACATCATACTGGTAACCCAGAGTAGACTATCAAAGCCTCCAGCTAGAAAGATTGGGATCTGGTGGTTGGTTTTTTTCCCAAAGCTCTGGTAGCTTTCCATTTGTTTAATATTTGAATCATGCAGGACTAAATGAAGAGGAATATGTATCTAGAGCTGAATAATTCCAGTGATACTCTGCATGATTTTAAAATTGAAAATCCAAAGCAGTGGTTTCCTATGTATCAGTGTCTTCAAAAATTATATTGTAATTGCTGAATCTGGAGTCTGATTTGTTAAATGGGCATGAACTAAACCCCACGTTTAATAAAGTGAATAAAATACTTTCTGCAGGCCCCACTCACTTGTCAAATTTAGCAAAGAGCTTGCTGCGACACTTTTTAAAAATGGATCCACCTACAATTACATTTGTACCCAGTCCAGTTACAACAGCTCAGGGAATCTATAGCAACTTGAAAAGCAATTTGCTTTTTGGGTGTATTCTAGGTATCAGCTGCAAGTGGCTTCTTAAAAAAAAAAAAACAACCAAACCCCAAAACAACTAAATGTCTTCTTCCTCTTAAATACATTTCAAATCCCCTGTTCTCACTGAAGTCAGAGGTAGAAGCCTCATTTACGCTGAGCAACCTGTATTCTGGCTATCATTCTGCACAACAGCAGGGATCTTATTAGTTTGCCGTGCCTCCCTAGACTTTTAAGTTGGCTGTGTTTAGAGAGACACTTGCTGTGTAGTGGAGAGGAGTTAAACAGCAATTAGCTCAACTATGAGAAGAGCAGAGTGATTTTGAAACCCTCTCCAGGTTCTAGCCTTGTTACATTAAGAGATGCTGCTCTGTCTTGATGAATAAAACTGACAAAAGCAGCTTTAAATTCTCATGTAACACAAAGCTTTTTCATTTACTTATCATAAAGTAACAGGCTATTCCTTCCCATTAGAGTCAAAATTTCAGTATTACAATTTACACATTACCCAGAAGGACTGTTCTAACCATGATTTGCAAAGCCACTACTGAAGTTAGTGTTTACTGTAGGGCGCTCCAGAAAAGTGAATTGCTGCTATAATTAAGCTGTATGATTTGATGATCACGTAAAATTCAGGTGCTCAGTTATAATTAGTTACGTACAAAACCTTCTGTAACACTGCCTGTTCGTATTTCTTCATGCAGATAGGTAGCTTTTTTTAAGTCCACGATTCAGAAAGCCTCTTAGACTTTTTTTTTTTTTCTTCATTTTCTCATCTGTACTAAGTGTTGGGTCCCTGTTTCATTACAACCTCCTTGCAGAGTGAAATCAAATTCACATCCCTGCTCACTCCTGTGCTTTGCACTGTGTAGGCTGTGAGTCTGATTCAAGTAAATCTCCCCTTACAGCATACTTTTTTTTCCCCTTGTAGTAAAAAGATTTCTCTGGATCTGCTGGGTATTTATGGATTTGGCTCATTGGAGAAGCTGGTTAAGAGGATTCCCTTTTCTTTTGTGGTTGAAATGCCATTGTTGTGCTCTCCTCTGCTACCAGTTAATCTCTCTGATGTGGGTCTATTTGGAAAGTCACCCATGTTTTGTTCCTTTTACTCTATTTGAAGGTTGTCTTTTCATTGAAGATTCATAGTTGAAGTGCTCAGTTGTAACCGTTTGTATGTTAACACTTTGTGGCCGCATGTCTGTTGTTCTTTGTCCTTCTGTTTTTTGTTTTTTGTTTGTTTTTTTTCCCCCATCTGCTTCTAGTTGAGACAATCCAGAACAATCCCATCCTCCTCATGGAAAGTAGCCCTCTGGGTGCTCTCCAGCACCAGGACAGCTTCATGGAAACAAGTATCCCCGTTCCCGTACTGAATTGGCAAGATGTTTCCAATAAAAGTGCTGGTTTTGCTGAGTGTGTGTAATCTACACTTTTTGTATTGTCTATGGTGTTGGGTACTTGGGGTGCTTTTTGGAGATTGTATTATTGCCTCCTGGAGTTGAAATCTTCATGCTGTGTCTCAGGCTGTGCCACATGAAATAACCCCTTGGGATCATGCTTGGGTCTGGGAAACCCACCGTGAAAATGAGTTGGCGTTACAGACTCTGTCCCGTTCTGGTGTTGATGATAGAAGGGGAGACTGCTGCCATGTACTTACCTTTTTCCATCTGTGCTGACTGTGCTTCTGGAAAGAGGCTTTGGCACAGAAAGACAGAGTCCCCGGGTGGCCCTGCCCGCGTGGCACGCGCCGTGCAGAGTCCCCTCGGTTGGTTCTCCGCAGCGCGTGACCCCCCAGCAGTCAGCCAGGCTGCGCCGTGCCCAGGACTCTAATTAATCTCTATGTCAGACCAGATTTTATCCGGTCGAGTATTTCATGTTTGGACACTCCTTGTGGCTCTGCTGAATACAGTGATTGAGGCTTTCAAACCCCAAGGTGGCTATACATGTTGGCTTTTTAAAATTAATTTCTTGACTTCTGCCTTAAAAGCAAAGTTTGATGCATTTGTTTTGCCTTATTTTCCATCATAAATGCTGCATGGCCTCAATTATTCTGGTTGTGGCTGGTGCTACATCTGCGATTTTAATGAGACTTGACTTTGGTTTAGCTTTTTCTTCCCTGTGTGTCTTACTTGCCCGTTCTCACCCCTTTTTCAGTGTTTTGCATTGAGAGCTTGGTTCTGCTGCCTTACCTTTAACAAGCTGACCCTTGCTGTTCATGAGCAGTCCAGTACGTTATGTGATCATACAGGATGGCAACATTGCTGACTATTCCAGATAGTCTCTCCCTTTGTCTTTTGAAGATGTAGATCATTTTTAGGTGTGCAGTTGCCAAGTTGCCTGTGCTGGGATGTTCTGTAACAAAGCAGAGGGAAAGGATCTCGTGCTTTTAATTAGTCACTTTGGAGGTCACTGATGAAATGCCCTTTAGTTGTCACCTGATATTTCCTGCTGTCAGGACAGAGCTTTTAGAAGCTTCTCTGCTCTTTACCTTGTGTGTCAAGAGCACACACTCTTGTGTGGCCAAGCAGTGCTTGGTTTGACGGTAGCAAGTGCTGAAACCCAGTTCAGCCACTGGACTGCAGGAAATTTCCAGAAACATAAAAACTTACAGACAACAGAAATCTGTGTTGTTCTTGATCTCAGGGTAGTGACCGTAGAGTGCCCAGCACTGACCAGTGACTCCAGTGCAAGCAGGGTCTGGCCTGTGCTGAGCAGCTGACTGGCTTTTCTGATTTAAATTTTTTATTTTTATTGAACCTTACGTATTTTTTGATTGCTTTCAGTATTTCCCGCTTCGGTCCCACAGCTCAGCCTGCAAATAGCACATATTGAAATCTGCCATTCAGATACCCCAAGGACTTAACACAGTGCCAACAGTACATTAGGAGGATGGCCCGGTGCCATTCACATAGTGGGAAACGATTAGTAAGAACACTGACAAACGAGTTCATAAATGAAAAGGCATAGCACTGAAATAAGTATTAAAGATCCATACATAGGCAAAAAAAAAAATAAAGTGGGTTTGCTTCTTACGTCATCTCATCCAGAAGCGCAGTTAAATCTCAGCTCGTTGCACTGGCCTGATGTGTGTGTGCTGCAGTTTGAGCAGCAGCGGGTCCTTTGCTGGGAGAGAGGGTGCTCAGGGCACTGCTCGAGCCAGGTCTCCTCTTCCCAAAGCTTCCTTGTTCTAATAAAGTCTGCCCTCAGGCACGGTACGAAGTACCCTTGCACTTCAGCCAGTGCAGTAAACTGGGGGCACCTCTGTCCTCACCTGGCGACGCAAATGAACAGCTAATCTTGATGAAAGTCTTGCTCCTGCTGGGCCTGGTCCAGCCATCTGACTTTGCCCTGGGCTCAAAGTGCTTGCCTGAAAAACCTCCCTGTGGTTGTCAGGACCGGAGCTGTGGCTGGAGATGCCACCTCTGCAATGCAGAAGGCTTTAGACTGCTCCCTTTAGGTTGCAGGCACTGGCATCGGTCTGTGCTGGCATGGCAGCATCTGTGACATCCCGCCCTCGTCCCCAGGAAAGCCCCCTTGGTTTCAAAATTGCAAGAGCAGGTGCTGCACAAGGGATTTGGTGCAAAGAATACACAGAGTTTAGGGAAAATGGGGGAGGCAGGGAGGGGATTCTCATATCCCTGGGTTTCCTCTGGAAGTCACCGTCACTGCAGCTTGGGGGTTGAGCAAGCTTGGCTGAAGGAGCAGTAATGCATAAAACAGGTTTACTGTCCATGCTTCCTGCCCTGCCTTTTCCTGGCCCTTGTTTCTCTTGAAACTGTCCTTTTTCAGGGACAGGGGGGGTGTAGCTTGGAAAAAGGGAGAAATACGAGAGCAGCCTGAGTGGGCTGGAGCATGGGAGCGCTGCTGCTGGGTGGCACTTCATCCCCCGCAGAGCAGGCTCCTGCCACCAACACGGGCAACGCTAAACTGAACAGTTCAGTAATGCTAAAAGAGTTTGAGCTTTTACAGGAGTGGGAATTACTCCTCTGGTGACACTAGCTAGGATGGTGTGGGAAGTGCTGCTGAGGTTGCTTCAAAGTCATTGTATTCAAAGATCCCCAGTTAGCCCCAGGAAGACAAGACTGGCTAAAAAGAGCAAGCCGAAAATACCGCTTCCTTTATTCCCTTTCCACTTTCTGGGTTCTCAAAAAAGGAGATAAAATTCAGACAGAGCTAAGTGAAGACATGCTAATGGAGCCAGAGCCATGATCCACCCAGGCAGCACCACATTTGGCCCAGCCTTTTCTCTTGTGTAGCATTGCTGTAACAGTCTTTGGCATGTCTTCCAGCTGCTTGCTAATTCAAGCCATAGATGGTTTATATTTAAGGGAGAGGGAGAAGTTCAGGCTTTGTTAGTAGGTGTTAGTTAAACCTGAACCAACCCAGACAAAACCAAACTCCTTCCATCTGACCGAGTTCAGGGAAGCTAATGGTCATCAGCTGTGTTGGGGCACCCGTCTGATGTGACACAAGTGCCTAAGCACAGCAGGATCTGTGCAGGCAAGGGGAAGGAGAGGAAGGAGTAACCAGGGAAAAGATGAGAGGGTTGTCCCAGGTCACAATGGGAACGAGACCTTTTACCCTTGAGACCTCTGTGGGGTTACTCCGGGCTTGGCTCATGTTCTCCGAGTACAGCCTCTGCTTGAATTGTCTGCTCTTGCTTGTGCTGGTGCTTTCTGCCGTACTGGCCTGGTGGTCCTGGCTGGGTTGTGGGTAGCGGTAGCAGCCTTGACAGCCAGCAGCTCAAGGCAAGGTGAAAAGAGGAGGAAAGTGCTGAGAAAGTGATGCTGGTAATGGCCTTTCAGGCACACCGTGGGCAGTGTGTGCAGCTCATCATCAGGTCAGGCTCCCGCTAAGGCTCAGATCTCGCAGTCCACAAAGCTTTTACACAGAGCAGCTTGTGGCCTGATTTTTCCCTGCAGAGAACAGAACTCTTTTACCAACACTGCAGCAGGATTTGTGTGGGCACAGACACTGCTGCTGCGAACTGAGAGATCGGATGAAGCAAATCAGTAGCCCCAAGCAAAAAAGATTGATATTAAAATAAACCAGTTGCCAAAACAACGCCCTGTGTCAGCTGCATACTGGGATTAAATCCAAGGATATTCTAACCTGGCTGAAATAGGTGGAGGATGTTGGTGTGTGGGAGTAACGTACTCGTGTTCCCCGTGGCACCTACTGCCTGACTGGGCACGAACCTGTGCCCCGTCTGATGTCTGGGAGTAAAGTTCAGATGCTGCTCCTCAGCTACAGCGGAGATGGGCAAAGTTAAAATGATAGTGAGTAGCTTTGCTTTTGCATGTTACTGGTGCTGCCTGCTGTGAGGTACTTGGTAGTGGCATTACAAACCCTCTGCAGTGCAGGGTCTTGGGATATCCCAGAGACACTTAACTCGGCCTCGTAGCCTCCACAGAGGGGTGGATGCTCTTACCAGTGTTACAGGGAGAAAACTGAAATGCAGAGATTTTATTGTGACTTGCAGCATCTCTCGGGTTGCCAGTCCTGAACATTTTAGATCCATTTCCCTCCGATACATGTAAAAGATCCACACAAGCATGACTAAACCCTCCTTTTCTGTATTTATGTACTAAAGGGTTAGGCCACACTTGGTAAACCTCAGGTTGGGATCTAAAAATCTAGACTTGCGCATTGTACAAAAGAAGCTCTGTTTTCACAGAGACTGAGTGCTCCCCGATCCACCAACACCGGTTGGAGATGTAAGTGCTCAGCACCAGACTCCTTTCTTGCAATAGCCCTTACTTTAGTTTAACGAGTGTTGGCTGTATCCATTAGCAATTAAATACAAGTTCAAATTTAGTCCCTGCCAGGCATGAAAATGTTTTCTTGATTTATTTTTTTGTTGTTGTTCTTTTGCACTGATGCTTCTATCTTGGAAATACTCATTTAAGTCTAAGTGTTTCAAGAAAACAAATATCCCCTTTCTAAGGTGGTTTTTTTTTTTTTTTTTTGTTGCTCTCCTTACCTTGGTTATTTTTTCTTGATGTGAATATATAAAGCTGTGTATATTCACATCTGTATGTATGACACATGCTTCCGTTATTGCTGCTTGAATAAGTCTGCCTGGATTTTTCTTTGGGGTTTTGTATTTGGTTTTTGAGCTACTTACTTTGCTTCTCTCAATCAAAGATTGCTCCTCCAGCCACATGTCTCTGCCTGCTGTGGTGTTTGCTTTCTTTTCAAACCAGAGCTCCGATGAAATGCTTTTTTCATTCCAATCAGTTCTGAAAGGTTTTTTGCACCTACCGGCCTTGTTTGCCTCCTTCCTCCCCTCGAGTTCATCTTGCCCAGCCTCTGTCTGTTGGTCTAATATTTTGATTTCCCTGTTTCAACTTTGTAGCAGATGTTGTTCAGTCTCATGGTGCCGTCTTCATGGAAAGCGCGTCCCTGTCCACCCCCATTTCAGCCCCTCAATTCAGGGGCTTCCGGAGAGCCAGTGAGATCAGCATTGCCAGCCAGGTCTCAGGAATGGCAGACAGTTACACTGCTTCCAACATAGCCAACAGTAAGTGTTTCACCCCCTCCGAGACTACTGCTCGCTGCCGCACCGCTCTCTCAGCGCCATGCACCGGGCCAGAGCCACGCAGCTTCTGTCTGTCTGTCTGTCTGTCTGTCTGGGGTTGTACTTTCCATTCAGAACAAAAAGCTGGAATTATTCCACCCTCGCCTGGTTTTGCCATAGTCGGTGCTACGTGTTACCATCTCCCCCGGAGGAACAGATGATGTATTCGATACAGGGGCCACCGCTGTGCTGCGCATGTTGGACCGCGATGGTGATAAATTGTTGGAAAAAATATGATGATAATTGATAACTCTGAGCGCCATTTGGCTGCTGTGCGTGGCGAGGATTAATCCAAAGGCATGTTTCTGTGCTGCTGTTGATAAGTCGGACAGAACTGGAAGGGATCAACACTGCCAGATTGATAATGCAGGATGCAGCATGTGGCTTGATGCAGATCACTTAAATGTGGCCCACAAAAAATGGGGATGAGTAAGTCCCTCTGAAATGCTTAAAGGGTTCCAGTTATTTATTGCTTTGCATTAGAAATTCAGCTCTTCTGTAGCCTGCAGGGCAGCTCAGAGTCAGCCAGTTATGACCCGTATCCCAGAGCCGAATGAGGAATCAAAGGGATTTTTTTTCTTTCCTATTTTTCCCAAGACCTGTATAACTTCCGAGCTAACACGGTAGAGAACAACAGCCTTTGTTAATGGTTCAGCCCCTTCTTCATTTCAGCTGAGGTGAAAGATTAACAGTCTGTGTCCTCAGGGACCTCTGATAACTGCAACCAAAAAAAGGCTGAAAACCAAACAAATTTAAACCAGAACAAAAAACGGTAACAAAAAAAAAACCCCACACTATAAAACCCACACCATAAAAACCTTCAGCCTGAACTCTTGTCCCAGAAGGTGGCAAAGATTTAGATACTCCATTCCTGGCACCTTAGGCTACAGGGCTACGAACAACTCGCTTCATAACTAACTACTGAGGTAAATAACGCTCCCCGAGGCAAGTGTTAGTTGCTGAAGGTCTGTGGGCGCTGCTCAGGGGATGCTGTAACTTCTTGCTCTGTTTGAGGCAAAACTCCACAGCAGGAATAAGTTACCTGCTCGGACAGACAAGGTTTTCTTTCCCAAAACACATCCAAAAGCTGACACCGTGCTCCCTGTGCGCGTTCTTATATTTGTCCTGGTAAGACATCTTGACAACCGCTTGCTAAATACTCATCTGCTTGGGAAGAAGGCTCCTGGGGGGGGAAGGTGTTTGTTTTGTGCTGGTTTCACACCCACGGAGAGCTGCCGAGCTCGGCTGGCCAGGATGGGAAGCGGGGGGGTGGTGGTTGTTCGTTACGAAGGGTTTACGCCGGGGTGATGCCTAAAGGCCCGCGTGACGCGTCTGCGAGCTGGCGGCAGGATCAGGCCCGCGCAGTGCTTGCCTCTCTTTGCTTTCCCTGCACTCTTCCTGATTATTGAGCTTCTGGTTTGTGTAATTTATTCTTCCATGCACTTCACAGCTGTCAGAACCCGTTTCTGAGATTGGAGAGTAAGAGTCAGGCCCTGGTGTGGGCTGCACGTGCACCCTGGCCCCTCTGCAGCCTGCCCCAAGGGCTGTCACGGCCCCTTCCTTCACCTCCCGAGTGCCGACGTGTCCCCCGAGCCCTGGCTCTGGCTTTGCAGCTCCCGTGCTTGACCTTGTTAGCGTGGCGTTGAGGGTTGGATGTGGTCCGTGCTTATCCCACAGGGAGAGCTGGAGGAAGTCTGGAGGGGCACCACAAACCCCTGGTTCCCTCCTGGGAGCCCTCCCAAGGGTGCAGCTTCCCTTGCACTATGGAATTCTGGAGGATGAAGCCGGTGTTGCCTGCAGCAGTGTGTGTGTATGGCATAATAATAAGTGTGATTTCTGCTTTTTTTTTTTTACTTTATTTTTCCTTTTAGAAACCAAACACCACCTTAATCATTGTAGAGGGTTTAGCCTTCTGTCCCAGCTTGCCCTCCCTCACAAATCCCCTACCCAAACCTCATCCAAGAGACGTAGGCATCATAAGCATGAAATCCCTTCGAAGGGAAGAAAGCTCAAAGGGCCGTGGAGTCAGGCTGCAGACTGTGCTCTTCGGATACCCGACCTGGACATCAAGACAGGTATTCTGGAGAGATCCACTCCGGTCGACCACCTCTCTCATTTGATAGTCACAGAACTTCACAACAAATCTATGCGCTTTCACTGAGACACTTGCAATTTCTGATTGCGTTTTAACAAGTATTTCTGTCACTTTGCTCTGAAGATTGATCATAACACAGCTAACAACTTGGCAAGAGCAGTTCTTCTAGGCAGAGCCATGGGGACAATGCTTCTGCCTCCACCGCTGTCTTTTGAGCATGGAAGAGTAAATCCTGTCTGCTTCCTACAAAGAATCTGAAATTACCCAAACTGGGGACTTGCATGAGAAACAAAAGGTTGGGACTCAACCAGGAGCTGCCCATTTGGAAGACAGGGAGTCAGAAATGGTCGCGGGGAGGCGCCTGTGTGCTCCGGAAAAGCCATGTTGATCCATCAATGCCCTCCTTCTTCTCGTGGCTCTTGAGAAAAGCAATGGCCTGGGCCCCCAGCAGAGCCAGGGCTGGGCTGTGGGGATGTGCTGATGCCATAACCCTCTGCATGCTGCTGTGGTGGGAGCTTTGTGCAGGTCTCTGGAAGAAGCTGGTGGGTCCGTTTTTTCAATTCAGCATCTGTGCTCATCACCAGCTAGATTTCCCTTAACAAGAAGGGTTTGTTGGATTGTACCTTATACCTGGCAGCTTTCCTGGAATTCCGTAAAAAGGGAACATTGTCACAGAGAAAAACCAAGCTTGAGAAAGCCCTTGTCAAAGCCTTGGCTTGCAACCTGCATGCAAACACAGCTCCTCCTGTTTCTCTCTTGATCTGATCCATCTTCTCTTTCCATGAGCACTTTCCCAGGCTGGAGTGCGCGGGGTCTGAGGACTCCTCACTGCTGGGAAAGCAGCTCACGCCTTTGAGGTCTGAGGCTTTGGGCTGAGACATGCTCAGAATCAGAAAGGATACGTGTGTGGGCAGAGTTCAGGGCAACGTTGAGGTGTGGTGGTGCCCACGGGTGAACACAGGCTGTCAGACACTTGTGTGCGAGTTGTTGACTCCCCACGGGAGAAACTCTTCTGTGTTGTCTGTAACCTTGCCCGCCCAAAATCCCGGTGTATTTTTCAGTCCTCTGTGCAGCAAAGTCCTGTGCCCCCAAATACTTTTCTTGTTGGCCGCTGCAGAGGCTGTGCTCTGGGGAGGCTGGGCCGGACAGCTCAGTTGCCTGCAACACGGTAGCCCAGGAGGGCAACAAAGACTTGCTGGGGACTGCCAGTCCCGGCAGCATGTGCCATATACCCTGCCTTGTGGTGCCTTTTAACATCTCACATGGGCTCCTGGTGTTCAAATCCTCTTTAGTGTGGTCAGTATCTGGATGCTATTCCTTGGTGAAAGCAAAAGGAGTCGGAAGTGGGGCCTGGGCGTGTACTTGGTGAGCAGAGCACACACATCCCTCCTCCCACCGCGACGGGTTTCTGTCTGATGTTTTGGTACATGGATTCCCAGGCTCACTGCGTTTGAGGCTTGGACCCCTTCCCCAGGGTCTGGACTAACAGCCACTTAATACCTGCCCTCTAGTGCCTTCCTCTTTGCTTAAATAAAGGAGAGCTCAAGTGCTGGTGCCCCTGTGTGTTCCTCCCTCAGTCTGAGCAAACACTGAGCCCTGGGATGGTTGTTCCCTCTTAGCAGTGCGGCCACCCAGGGAGCACCCTCCCAGCCTACCCGGAGTGAGGAGCCAGAGCCTTGAAATGCTGTTTGTGACGGAGACTGCACACGCATGTGAACCCCCTTTGTCTGAACGAGTCTTTTGCTTCTAGTTGCTGCCAAATGGTGGGGAACCAAAAGGATCGACTACGCTCTCTACTGTCCTGATGCTCTGACGGCTTTTCCAACGGTTGCTTTGCCACACCTCTTCCACGCCAGCTACTGGGAGTCAACGGACGTTGTCTCCTTCCTGCTGAGACAGGTACAGTCGAATTCTCCCTCCCCCGATCTCCTTTGGGCTGAAAAATATTTTGGATTCTTTGTTTTTTTTTCCACTGCACCTTCCGTAACTCTTGTTGACACGTAGAGATGAAAAAAATACCCTTTGCTACTGCAGATCCGTTTTCTTCCCCTACTTTTTGTTCCCCATCTGTGTTGTTGCCAGAGCTGCGCATGTGCAGACTTCACAGATGTGTGCTGTCACACCTGGTTACTTTGGGTCTGGGTTTTATCATCGGAGAAGGTTTCAGATGGGCTCACTAGGGAGCCATGGAGTGAGCCCAAGGCCATTTCTTACCAGGTCGCAGTGGCAAAAGTTAGTGGCACTTGCTTCTTGAAGTGAGCGTTCTTCTGTGTGAGTTGAGATCTCAAGTCTGAAACTTAAAGGAAATTTCGGGATGTACAAATAAAGATAGCACCAAATACAATAAAACCAAAGGAGAAGGTTTTGTTTGAATTTGAGGAGAAGTTTGGTATGAATTTGATATGAGTTGATAGGCAGAGTTCAGTTCTCTGTTTTGGTTTTCTGAGTTCTTGTGGTCTCTTTTAGGAACTCAGACCATCATCACTGCTTTGGGATTTAGTCCTTGTTCCTCCAGTACAAAGCAGTTCTCCTGGGACTGGGTAAATGGGGATTGCTGGTGTCCAGAGTCTGACACCTCAGAGTCTATCAACTACATTTGGTCTGAGATTTAAATTTACTGTTTAAAATGTGGTTTTCCTAAAAGAAATACCTTTCCTTCAGTTCCACGGGGATGGGGGGGAAATGATTTGCCTTGCAAAGTATGAACCCCCCAAGGAACGGTACTTAGAGCATTGAATTGGAAAAAGCAAAACTAAAAGCAACTCTGTGGATTATGCTGCCCACTTCAGCACTTGGGTTTGCTTTGTGTTAGCTCAGCTGTTAAGCCGTCCCCGCTCTCTTCCAGCCTCCTTGACTGCAGCTCTCAATTATTTATGATTCTGTTGGCAAACTTTCTTTCAGTGCTATCTTCCCAATAGTGTGGGAACCATAAACAACAGACATGTCGGTGCTGGTGGCAGCTGAGCAGGAGAGATAATCCAGCGAGACCCTTTCTTCGCAGGCTGTACCTAGCCCAGCGAGACAGCTCTGTGCTTGCACACACCTTGCTGTGAAACCCCAGCCCTGCATCGAACCCAGCCTCGCGGGGCTGAACAGATAGAGAGAGACCCGTGAGGGGGAACAATCATGACAGTCTCATACGGAAAACGTTCCACTCAAGAAATAGCCGATTACTCAGGATTCAGCCTGAACCTGGGTCTGTAGCACAGTGTGGGGCTTTGTATCTTGTGGCTTGAGGTACCTCTCCATCCGTTCAAAGCCTGCCAGTGGCTGCCTCAGTAGTCTGGCACCCCCCCTCCCCAGTCCCCATCTCTACTCACTCGTCTCTGCCTTGAGATAAGGGTTTTTCTCATCCCCTGTCTTCTTGCTGTCCTTCCAGAGCACCATGCCACTTCTTCCCCTAATAAGGACTTGTTTCTAACTGCCTTTGAAAGCCATCTCTGGACAAAATGTTAAAGTAAGCTGTTGAATAGTTTTAGCCTCCAAAGATTAAATCTGGTTAAAACAAGCCCAAATAGGACTCAGAATAGATTCCTGATTGAAATAATTTTCTGTAAAACTTGTTATTTTGTTTACCTTGGATTTCCATGAACTCCCTCCCCAGCAGGCTCATCCTCCCTGGGGTCCTTTTGCCATTTCCCTGGAATTAAAACAGCTTCAGCTCTGCAAAGCAAGCTGGCCTGTGTCAGACCACTACAGCCGAGGTCAGCTGGAGAGCTGCTAACCACACACAGTATGTTCAAGACCTTGTAAAAAAGCCCACGTTTAATAAGCTTCTTAATTTTTTGGTGCGGCGGGATGATTAAGGACTGCTGCCAATTTTTGGAGTTCTCCACAGGGTCATCTCCCAGTCTTACAGCGGTCTTGAAGATGTCCCCTCGCCTTTGGGTGTTATTCTTCCTTCTCCTAGAGCTTAAGAGCGGTCTAGGTGGGATCTAACCCTCCTCTCTGCAGGTTCCTGCCTGTGCCCCGGTGACAGGCAGGAATTGCCCCCAAAGGCTGGCTGCAGGGCATCACCTTGTCCCCTCTCTGATCCTCGTGCTGGTGCAGCGACATCCCACCAGCACAAAGTCCTTGAGCTCTGTCAACCTCAGAGACAAGGTCGGGATGGACAGATGCCCTGGGCTCTGCCTTGCATATGGCTGAGCCAGACCCCTGTGTGCCTCTGCCAGGGTCAAATCAGTAAGAGGAGGAAAAGCCACGGGGCAAGAGCAGCCTGAAATGTGTTTAAATAGAAATAAGAAATGAGCTGAAGGAACAACATCTGTCGGCATGAGGCCGGTCAGAGCAGATGGTGCTGGATCTGTTAGGAGAACGGCAGAAGACTCGTGTTCAAAGGAGACAGTCCCTTGCAGACCATGGGAAGGGACTAATTAATGCCTGGAGGAAGGGCAGGGATCTAAGCACGGAGCTCGTCCTGCTGTGTTAGAGTCAGTTTTGTCCCTCCTGACAATCTAAATAACCTGTGTCCCAGCCGGGATTAAGTCAGCGCTGGCCGCAGGCTTTGCTAGCTCGGAAGAGACCACTTGTCCTTGCAATTAAGGGAGCAGCCTGTAAAACCTGCAAGCTGACAAGCCAAACACCCAGGAGGCAAAATTCAGACTGCCTCTGTCCAGGCATTGCCCTTACTCAGCGCTGGCTCGGGAGATGCAGAACAGCATAGGCAGGAGGAGGGGGGGTCACTGCACAAGTGGCTGACATCTGGATGGGATCTGTCCTCCCGCAGGTGATGAGGCACGAGAACTCGAGCGTTTTGGAGCTGGATGGGAAGGAGGTGTCTGTCTTCACCCCCTCCAAGCCCCGCGAGAAGTGGCTCCGCAAGAGGACGCACGTGAAGCTCCGGGTAAGGGTGGTTTTTGGAGCTGCCTCCGCGGCGGGAGGGAGTGCTGTCGTGTAGAGGTGTTCTGAGTTGGGCTGCAAGAACAGCACCGAAAGCAGGCAGCGAGGGCACGGCTGTGTCTGTCCACAGCAGGGACAGAGGGTCCTGTTGCCCTGCTGGTGTATATTAGTGATTATATCCTACCCATGTAGCCGTGAAAGAGCAACTTGAAGGATCTGTACCAGCAAGGTCTCCTCTTGGCCTTGAGTCTATGGAAAATGCAGAAAGCGTTGGCTGTGGGTCAGGGAAAGGGACTGAACATCTTTCAAAGTCCAATAATGCAAGTTCTCTGCTTGGTAAATGCCTTCTGCTCCCACGGAATGTCTCCGATTCCCAAAAGAGGGCAGTTCTCTGCTAGAGCTGAAACAATGTCAGCAAATTTCTCTGGCAGCTCTTTGTATGGCCTCTTAAATCCTTAGTGTGAGAGGTAATAGACAGTATCAGAACTGCATGGACAAAGTGCTGTTGAAATGGCTCAAATCCACCCTGTCGATGTGGGGCACAGTCTCACCTCTGCCACAGGTCACTTCTAAAGCTGAGAGCTGGGGTGGGGGGGGAATGGCACAGAGAAACCCATGCTCCCATTTGTCTGGTTATATTTGGCATTTCCCTGTGAGGTTGTCCAGTAAACTTTTTTCTTTTTTCTTTTTTTTTCCCCTTTCCCTCTTGACTTGTGCAGAATGTCACAGCTAACCACAGGATAAATGACACCATTGCTAATGAAGATGGGCCCCAGACCTTAACTGGAAGGTTTATGTACGGCCCGTTAGATATGGTCACACTCACAGGAGAAAAGGTACTGTGTCTGCTATGGCGGTTGTGCATCGTGTGGGGAAAAAGTGTGGGGACGGGGACAGAGGCAGTGCTGGCCAGTGCCCCCTTGGTCCCTGACAGGGTTTGCTGCCCCCGAGTCTTGGCCAGATTCTGCTGCCTGGACTTGTGTGGTGCCTCCTACCAGGACCAGCGTTCATCGTGGAGGTCTTGGCCACAAGGCCAGGTTTCCTTCCAGCATCCTGACGTTTGGGTGCTTCTCAGCTCAGATCTGTGAAGTGCGGGGGGCGGAAGCAGGACCCAGCCCGGCTTGGGTGGGAGGTCCCCGTGCTTGGCCTGCTCTACTCGTCTGTGTCTAATGCTGTTGCTGACCCAGTTTCGCTGTTTTCCCAGGTGGACATTCACATCATGACACAGCCACCGTCAGGAGAGTGGGTTTACTTCGACACAGAGATCAGCAACAGCAGTGGCAGGATTTCCTATGTCATCCCTGAGAACCGGCGCCTGGGCATTGGCGTGTACCCCGTCAAGATGGTGGTCAGGTGGGGTAACTTGGTGCTTAGTTTGCAAGAGGAACTGTTTAGTTTGAGGAGGAAAAGGCTGAGGGGAGACCTCATCACTCTCTACAACTGCCTGAAAGGACAATGTAGAGATTGCTGCTCGTCTCTTCTCACAGATAGTGACAGAACAACGGGGAACAGCTTTAAACTCCAACAGGGGAGGGTCAGACTGGCCATTAGGAAAAAATATTTCACAGAAAGAATGGTCAGAGAGTGGAACAGGCTGCCCAGGGAGGGAGGGGAGTCCCCATCCCTGGGGGTGTTTAAGGGCCGTTGGGATGAGCTGTTGGGGAATATGGTGTAGGGGAGAACTTTGTAGTGTTGGGCTGATGGTTGGACTCGATGATCTCGAGGGTCTTTTCCAACCTGAATGATTCTGTGATTCTGTGAAAAGAGGAGTTTGACTGTAGAACATGGTCCCTCCTTGCGGGGCAGCTCTGCTTGTTGGGTGGGTTCAGAGTCTGGTTTGCCAGCAACAGGGACAAAGCTATTTGTACTCTAGAGCTGTGAGAGAAAGAGCCACGTTTTATTCCAACACCTGCATCAGCAGCAGCATGGTAATTGAGTTCCCACTGCAGGAGCAAGCCTTCTGCACCACAGCCATATGGCCTCACAGTCATCTGCAAAACTGCACAACTGAGCGTATTTTAAAGACCATAAACTTGTCCTTGAGGAACAGAACTTCATACTCGTGATAACTCACAGCCCAGGGGCTCTGGCTCAGCTCCAGCTGCTGGTGGTGAGCTCTGAAAGGGGGAGGAGGGGAGCATTTTCTCTGTGGTGAACCCAGCAGTGGTTTTCTAGGGCTATTTTTTTAAGTCACTGGCACCAGGGCTCCAGAGCAGTATTTTCACCCCCACTTTTAGCCCCGAGGCCCTCACACAGTGCCCGTCCCTGCTGTAACCGAGGGCGGCGGCGCTGTCAGAGCCCTCGGACCAGCTTTGGGTGCTGCTGTGGGCTCGTGGCACACTGCGGGACCGGGTGAGACCTTCAGAATATCTTGATGCCTTTAAGTACCTGCATCCCTTCCAGGGGTGACCACACGTACGCAGACAGCTACATCACGGTCCTGCCGAAGGGGACGGAGTTTGTGGTGTTCAGCATCGACGGCTCCTTCGCAGCCAGCGTGTCCATCATGGGCAGCGACCCCAAGGTCCGCGCCGGAGCGGTCGACGTTGTAAGGTCAGCGGCAGGGGCTGGGGCTCTTGGTTTGGTTGACGCTGGCGTTGCTCTAGGTCTGCAATCCGTTGCTGTGTGGTTTTCCTTCTAGGCACTGGCAAGACCTCGGCTACCTCATTATCTATGTCACGGGCCGCCCCGACATGCAGAAGCAGAGGGTGGTAGCGTGGTTAGCACAGCACAACTTCCCCCACGGGATCGTCTCCTTCTGCGACGGGCTCGTCCACGACCCGCTGCGGCACAAGGCCAACTTCCTGAAATCCCTCATCACAGATGTAAGCCTGGGTCTGCTGAAATACGATCGTAGCACGGGTTTAAATTGCTCCTTGTCCAATTGTCCCTGTCAGCACCAGTCTCTTGGCAGCAATGTGACCTGCGGTGGAAGATTAATCTGTTCATTTTATTTTCATCCTTTTATTGCTCTACAAAAGTTTCTACGCTGTTAAATTGTGTCATCTCTGCTCTGCACTGCTCCATTTCATCACCGGTCCTCCCAGTGCCAAGTGCCTGATGAAACAGAGGCAGCAGTGCCTCTCTTCCCCACATGTGCACTATTTTCCCCTGTTTGGTGGCTTTCTGGTTGCCCGTGATGTAACCAGCAGGTCTGAGAGGGTGTGGAGCTGCTGCAGAAATGGCCTTGCACCACACAGCCCTGGTGGGAGACTCCACAGAGCATCTTCCCAAGCGTTCAACCCCAGGGAGGTCTTAACATTGCTCAGCCCAGAGCCTCAGAAAAGCTCCAGATAAAACAAGGTTTCCTCTGTCTGGCAAGTGAAGGAACTGAGCACTTGTGCCCTGCCTTGAATAGCAGGGAAAGCTCCTCATTAACTCTCCTGGACTCTAATTTTGGCCTCGGTCACAGTGGCAGAAGCAGCTGGCCTTTACTTGCTGCCTGCTCTCCCTTGTCCTCCAGAAAAACAAGTTTGTAACCAGGGTCAGAGATTTCCTTTCCCTCTCCCTGGCCTGCCTGTGGCTCCGGGGGTAAAGCTGGCTGCTCTGTGGTAGCACCAGTGTCCCCACCTCCCCTGCCAGCCCCAGCTTCACCCACTAAGGAGAGGGTTGGCCGGGAGTTGCTCTCTGCTTGGAGTGGAGGCAAATGAATCCCTGAAAAGCAGCGTAGTTTGCTGCCTGTCCCTTCTCCCTCTGCCCACCAGAGTTAAACAGCAGTGTTGTATGCAGCAGCGTGGCTGGTGGAGGGGAACGCTCCCCGTTAATGATCACTGCAGGGGGGGGGTTGCAAACTGCTCCTTTTCCCCAGGGACAAGTAGGCAGTGAAGTGTGTGGCATCTCTGCCCCCCGCAGACCTCAAGGAAAGATTGTGGATCAGCAAGCAGAGATCTGCTTTCGTATTGCTGTTACCCCTCTTGTTCTGGCCTGTAAACATCCCCAGCTCTGTTAATTAGCGCTTTGCACAGCGGTGCGTTATCCTGCTGGGAACTTACATAAGTTATTGACCTGAGATTCCTACAAATGCTATTTAAAATTTAAAAAAGAAAAAAAAAAAAAAACAAAACCAGCCCTGCCTCTTGTGCAGCACGGGACACCCGTATGTTCTGACCAGGTGTTGCTTTCGCTCCCCGCAGCTCCACATGAGGATCCACGCGGCATACGGCTCTACGAAGGACATCTCTGTGTACAGCTCCATCAGCCTCCCACCCACACACATCTACATCGTCGGCCGACCCACCAAGAAGCTGCAGAGCCAGTGTCAGGTAGGAGCCAGCTTCTCTGAGCCCGGGAGGTGCCGCCAAGGGCCTCCCGAGGGTGGGAGATGGGAATTTAGTCACCTTAAGACTGGTGACTGAGCTGGTGGTTGCCAAGAGGACGGGAGCTGTCCCACACACCAGGACCCGTCACGTTTTTCTGAGTGGTTCCACGTCTCGTGCATCACCCCAGCCAACCAGGCACAGCAAACGCCGTCTGGCTGCCAGCGACCATCAGGGAAACGGGTCCCGTCCCTCTTAACTCCTGTCCTCATCCCTCTTGTCTCGCAGTTCATCACGGAGGGGTACGCAGCCCACCTGGCCCAGCTGGAGTACAACCACCGCTCACGCCCCGCCAAGAACACCACGCGCATGGCGCTGCGGAAAGGCAGCTTCGGGCTGCCCAGCCAGACCGAGTTCCTGCGCAAGAGGAATCACCTGCTGCGGACCATCTCCTCCCAGCCTTCGGCCACCGGCGGCGGCGCCGGCCACCGGCCTGAGCGCACCCAGAGCCAGTCCGACAGCGACAAGGAGAGGGACAGGGAACGCAGCCAGAGGAGCATGAGCATCGCCACGGGGTGCTGGGGCCGGAGCGCAGCGTCCCGGCTGGACTCTGGCCTCCTGGGGCAGAAGTAGCCAGGCCAGAGCCAGCGACTGTTGAGAAAACAAAAAGAAAGAGGGACGAGGCCACGTTATGGGCTGGAAGGGTAAATATGGTGCTACTATAATAACGTCATGGTATTCTGGGAAGAGATGGGATGTTTCCCACGTAGAACACGCAGGCCTTGCAGCAGGAGAGTCAGGTTTGTGCAGCACGAGCCCAAGGAACAGCTGGAAATTGGGGGGGGGAAAGTCTCCAGGTCAAGATCGCGCTCTCTCCTGCCTCCTTCTCTTATCCAGGTTTAGTGACTGTAAATACGTGCCTCCTCGCCTTGTTAGCCATCGCTCCGACACGCATGACCGAGTGCTGTCCTCAGAGTCGCAGAACGGGGAACCAGGCTGGGGGAACTTGGTCTTGGTTGTCCCAGGAGTCAGACTGAGGTGCTCTGCCGGTGCCGGCACGGGCAGGTGTGGGGTTTGCTGAGCGTTTCCCGGCACAGACGGCCCCAGGCGAGAGATTTATCGTGGGCTGTGCCAGGCAGAGCAACCGGGAGCTTCAAGTTCAGCCACTTCCTCAAGGAGTACGTGCAGTGGCAAAGCCTAAAGATGTATCAATGCTGTTAGTAGAGGCAGAACGTCGGCAGATTCACACCCAAGAAAGTGGGGTCGTTACTGTATTACTCTTATTTTTTAAAGAGACCTTTTAGAAGCCGATGGAATTTAATGCGTTGACCTATTAAAAGAGGAATACAAGCTACTTTGAGCTGTTACAAACCTCAGACACTTAATTTGCTGTTAAAGTCTCCAAATATTCTCGCTATATATTATTTCCAAAAGTAACCAACTGTATATCTGGAAGCAGCTGAAGGCACTCAGCAGCTAGGTTGCATTGCAGTTCTTCTCATCCAAATGCAGGGTCTGACTCTCTCAACACCCACCTCTGAGACGTTTTCTTCTTCCCAGGTTCTCTCCAAGTTCAGTAGCAGCTTTCATGGGAACTAGACTCGCTTCTTTTACCTGTAGTTACTGAACTGTAAAACCTCATTGTTTTTTGCACTGATGATTTTTAGAATGGAAACCTGTTACCATCTCATGTAGCTACACCTAACTGTTTGTAGTGCATGACAATGAAATATTGCTAAGCCAGGGTGTGTGTGTGTATATATATACATTTGTGCATATACATATGCACACACACGTATATATATGTATATATTTAAAAAAAAAATTAATAATAATCTGTGCAGAAGTTTTTCCAGCAGTAAGGAGACTGTAAGGAAGTGTGCCAACGATGTCAGGCAACCTTAAGAAAAGGCCATATCTTAATTTTCCTGGTGTGTTTCTCAGTGGATGTGCCTGAGCTGATGGTTTGTGTGCTGCTGGGGCGAGTCGGGGCCGGGCGCGGGGCGAAGCGCTCGCTGCTGGCCAGCACCCTCGGTGACACCCAGCTGGTGGCACCCAGCCGTGCATCGCTCTGCAGCGGCGGGGAGAACAGTGCCTCGAGCGAGGGCTTGTCAAAAAGCCCCTTTAGTTCTGACCCTCGCGGGCCAGCCCGGCCCCGGCGAAGGGCCCGGTTCCCTCCTCGCACACACCGCCCGGGGCGGAGGGGCATCCACCCCGGGGGATCTGGGGTGCCCATGTACAGCCTCCAGTTGGCCTCTTCACGTGGAGATTTTATAGTCCTACCGAGCTCCCCGACTACGTGTAACCCTGCTTTCCCCTCACCACACTTTCCTGTCTTTATATCACTTTCTACTTATGAGGACCTTATTTATAACAAAGAATTTTTTAGACTGGCTACTTCATTTTATTAACTGTTTCAATATGAAGTGCAGGACGGCCGCACTGAGATACACAGCACTGTGAACGCTGCTCTGCTAATTGGCTCTGGGCCACGGTAGGCAAATCTTAACTCCTCAGACGTCCAAGGTAGATCTCGTGCTGGCGGCGCTGGAGGGTCGAAGCGGAGGCAGAGGAGGGTCAGTGCTGAGCTGCCAGCGGCCTCTGCGCCGGGGGAGCGCTCAAACCCGACTGCCCATCCGCTGCCCAGCGCATCTCCCACATCCTGCAGCCTGACTGCAAAATGTTTAGCTACTTCTCTTTGATAATTATTCAGTTATAGAATGTATCTGATGACTTTTGTTACCGAAAACTGACTTCCCTTTCTGCCAACTCAGCTTAGCTCTCTCTGAATGTACATCCAGAGCTTACTGGGTTTAAAAACGATGTGAATTGTCCCAGCTTTTTGTTAGTAAATGTTATCTCAAACAGATGCCATCTGAGTAGGAAGCCAAGCCACAATCCATCCTGTGAAGTCACCAAACCACATCACAAAATAATTTCTGCAAATTTGGATATGGCCTTTGCAAAGTTCAACTTTCCTCCAAGTCCGCAACCAAGGCATGATCTGTACATTTTCCAATGCTGACGAGATGTTCACATTTTCTTATGTGTAGATAGTGTAAAACAGAGGCAAATGTAAATGTTCAACATAAAAAGTGGATATATAAAATTGAAAGTTATTTATTTATGTAGAGGAAAAAAAAAATGTCTGGAGGGACTGGAACCTTCAGGGTTTATTAATATTTAAAAATGTAGCTTTTTGTTTCAGGCATTATGTACAAAGCAATTATTTTATGGACCAAGTTTAATGTAACTGTCAATGAATGCAGAAGTGCAATATTATACTCACCTCTCCATCACTTCATGTTTTAAACAGCTACTAACCAGTTAGACTGACAATCACAGCACCTCCGTCCTCATCCTTTGTTGAGCTTCTTGAAACTCGCCCGGGTCCTTTCCCTGGCCCCCCCATCTGTTGCCATTGTACGAATCCAACACGGAGAAGCAATTGTAGAGCAGGACCTTTATTGCTGCAATAATACCAGATGAGGTGGGTGTAGTTACCAGGAAATATGCCAATAAGTTTTTCTCCACCGGTTCAGTCCATCATAGTCTCCATCAATCTATCCTCAGCCGCCCCCATCTGGCACTCGTCTATCCGAAGCAAAGATCAACGTGCTACTCATTCAAAGAACAATAGCAATAGTTTAACTCTGTGTTTATAACCTGTTTGTTCCAAGGTGTTTTGGAGAGCAATGCATGTGACCTGATGCCTTTCCACGTATATGGAAGAGGGTCCGTTTGGACGCAGCGAGGGAAAGATGAATGTATATTCCATCCTTACTAAAGGGGCACTGTCAGGTTACAGACCTAATTTCTCTTTGTTACAAATGTTTGCTTCCAAAGGAAAGAATATGAAGTTTCTTGTACTCCTCCCTATCGCCGTTGTCTGGGCAGCCACCGGCACGGCCAGCGACGGTCGCGCCGCTCCTGCTGCAGCCCACGTCCTGTTCTCTCACACTAGCACAATACAGCCCGCGCTGCGCAGGCTGCCTCAGTCTCTTTTTTTCTTTTTTTCTTTTTTATTTTAATTGTTTCCATGGGAATCAAAACTGCTGTGGAGCTCAGATTTTTTATAAAAAGCAGCTTTTTGTATTACCGTGCTGTTGGGCCAGACTTTCTACCTGACGCTGTCCCTTTAAAGTCTTTTAAAAAAATATAAAAAAAGAAGAGCCCATGCATTCCCTCCGAGTTGTTTTCCTGGGTTTGCTAGATCACTCAGTCAGATGAGGCAAAATTCTAATACCAAAAAACGTTTACAGTGTCCGACACGCGAGCCGAGAGCAGTAACTAGCCAAAGGGTTACTAACAAACTCCCGCTCCGCCCAGCAGCCGCCGCGCTTGCTGTAGCAGCCCCTTCTTCAGGTATCACCACAGTTTGCTGCATTTCCTGTTAGTTCTAGAAGCCTTACGGTCCCCTCCCTGTCCTCAGCACCCCTCTGCCTGTTGATACCCTCGACTGTCAATTTTATATTCCAACGATGTTAGTTAATATTTTATTTATAAAAAATTGCTTTAGGGGGAACAGACCTGTGTGTGTGGGGAAGCACCGGAGGGCATGCCCGAGGGCGCTGGGTACGCCCCTGTGTGTACAGCACCGTGCCCCGTGACTCGCTTGTGTGTGACAAACCTTCTGTACAACTTCCTTCTCCTCCTTGCTGTTAGTGCATTGTTCCGATGCCTGGGTGTGCTTTGTGTACAGTTATCATTGTGAGTTACACAGATTAAAGAAATGGGAAGGCTCTTCTCTGGCTGTTTTTTTTTTTTTTTTTTTTTTTTTTTTTTTTTTTGAAGGAGGGGGGAGACTCTAGAAACAGACAAGTCACAAAACTTGTGAGCAGGCGACAGTTTTAATGGGGTTACAGCGATGAACAGAGTGTGGAAACCTTCAGTGCAGACCAGTCCTGCGGGACCCATTTGTCCTTTAACCTGTTTGTCTTTTTTTTTTTCTCTCAGTTTGTAGATTTATGGACTTTGCAGTGGGGGAAAGGCCAGCTGTTTGCTCCATGGGCCCCGAGAAGCCCGGAGCCCTAATGGGGCCTGTGCTGTGGGAAAGGGACACGTGTGGCATGCAGGGACAGACGGCAAGGCAAAGCCACCCCACTGCAAAGCAACACCTGCCCATGTGCCAGGCCAGGGCTCCCCCAGCACCGCCCGAGGAGCTGAAGCTGCAGAAAGGCTCAGTAAAGCCCCCGGGGCGCAGCAGAAAGCGGCATTCGAAGGCGGAGAGGAGAGCTGCAGCCTGAGCAGAGCCACACAGCAGCGCGGGCATGCAGAGCCAGCAAGCAAGGGGCCACGAGCAGCCCCTGAAGGGAAGTCGTGGCGGTCAGCTGCGTTTCGCAGCCCGAGCACCACCCTGTCCTGGGCGCGGCGTTGGCTCCCGCCCACCAAACCCAGAGCTGAGGGGCAGCAGCACCCTGGGGTGCTCAGCACCAGCGAGCCTGTCCCCGAGGTGCTGCTGAGCTCCTCCAGCCTCGAAAAGGGGCATCGGGGCGAGCAGGTCTAAGTGTGTTACAGCCACGCTGGCCCCAGTCGGGAGAGGGAGGGGAGAAGCTGTTTACTGGCAGATGAACCATTAAAGTCGCTTTCCTTCCCAGTTGGTAACTTACAGAGCGGCTGGAAGCTGCCCCCGGGGAAGCATCTTGCCACGGCGCTGTCTGCGTGGGGCGCAGCGGCTCCGGCCTGGGCCGGGCTCCCGGCGGGGCTGGCACTCGGGCCCTCACTGCAGCAGCCCCGTCCTCGCCTGGAAGGCCAGCCCGTCCCCCCGGGTGGCTTGCTGCGAAGGGAGAGAGAGACAGGGGTGAAGGACCACCAGCACCCACCCGCCAGGGCCCCTGGAGTCACTGGGGTCCCCAGGGACCCACCCACCAGCCGCTCCCGGTGGTGGCAAGTCCCCCGCTACCTTGTTAATCTCCTTGTGTCTCTCCTTGCTGACGATTTCTTCCAGCACTTCTCCGTCTCCCTTAATAAGCCTGGAAGACAAGCGCAGGCCCACGAGCCGTGAGGGCTACTGCCAAATGCTGTTTCCCAGCCACCGGCAGCACCGAGCCCCCCACCCCACCCAAGGGCTGCTCTGGTGCCCAGCTCAGGCAGGCGCCAGCCCCCTCACCGGCACCTGCCCAGGCCCACCTCTAGGCAAGGCCAGGGATGCCCTACACCTGAAGTTGCATTATGTGACTTGGTTGTGGGTTTTTTTTGGGGCCGTATCAAGCTTAAATAGCACAGCAGGCTATTCCACTGCTCTTGTGGGATTCATGTCACCACACCGGAGCGAGGACAAACGTGGTCCCTGAGAAACGGGCACCCCCCTGCCCGGGTCGGCCGTCCCTGCCCCAGGCTGTGGGCACTGTCTATGTGCGGAGCCAGCTCGCACTTGCACATGGCAGGAGAAAACACTCGTAATAAAAGCATCCCACACAGCCCATCATCTGCAGGCTTCGCTCTCAACAGCAGTGGTCCCAAGCCCTGCAAAACCCCTTCCTTTTTTTTCACACAGAGTTTAGGTCCGGCCCTGGCTGCCCCAGGAAACTGCAGAGCCATTCAGAAATAGGAGCCAGTTTGGGCCTGAAAGGCAGCCAGACCAGGGAGCATCTTGCTGAACAAATTCCAAGCAGTGTCGGAGGCGGCTCACACCTCCAAACATGAACAGAAATTTAATTGTCTTCATTACATGCCTTACAGGGAACCGACCTTTGTTCCACACCTCCCTGAGCCCCGCAGGCTGCCTTCTATTTTAAGACTGGACTTGTCATACCCAATTCTCTTCTGCATGATGTTTTCTGCTTGCTGAGAAGATGCAGTTTATTAAAAACTGGGTCATTTCTACTTGGCAGCCAACTGAACATGGGTTTGATTGTTGTCTGTAACCCCCAAGGGGCGCACGCTGTCCCCCCCTCCCTTGCTTGCATCTGGGTGCTAAGTGGAGCTCAGTGCTTCAGGGGAAAGGCAAGTGTGTGAAGCAGTGGGGTGAGGTCAGTCACCCCTCTGGGTCCTGCTCTGCCCCCCGCTTGCAGAGTCCCCATTAATGGGCAAAACCGAACTCTGCACAGCGCAAGGAACAAACCTCCTGCCCCCAGCAGCAGGGAGCAGCCCATAGCTGGGACACAGCCCGGAGCCCCTTGCATGGAGCCCCAGCACTGTTCAATATTTTGGTGTCAAACATGTCGCTTTCTGGGTAAGTTACACCAGGTTTGATGGGAGTGGCTCTGTGCGGGATCTGCTCAGGCCTTGGCTGCTGAAGGGGACCTGGGTCCACGGATGGGGATGGACAACCTGCCTCCCTTTTCCCCAGGGATCACAGAATCCCAGAATCATCTGGGTTGGAAAAGCCCTCGAAGCTCCTCCAGCCCAACCATGACCCTCACCCTGACCGTTCCCAACTCCCCCAGATCCCTCAGCGCTGGCTCAGCCCGACTCTTCAACCCCTCCAGGGATCCCGGGGACTCCCCCCTGCCCTGGGCAGCCCATTCCAACGCCCAACAGCCCCTTCTGCACAGAAATCCTTCCTCAGAGCCAGCCTGACCCTGCCCTGGGCAGCTTGAGGCCATTCCCTCGGGGCCTGGCGCTGGGGCCTTGGCTCCAGAGACTCATCCCCCCTCTCTGCCCCCTCCTGGCAGGGAGTTGCCGAGGGCCAGGAGGGCTCCCCTCAGCCTCCTCTTCTCCAGACTGAACCCCCCCAGTTCCCCCAGCCGCTCCCCAGCAGACCTGTGCTCCAGACCCTGCCCCAGCTCCGTTGCCCTTCTCTGGCCACGCTCGAGTCCTTCAATGGCCTTTTTGGGGTGAGGGGCCCAAAACTGAACCCACTCATCAAGGATCATACCTGGTTCTCCCCGTTTCAGGATCCACGACTCTCCTTATGACACTCTGCCTCGCATCCCATTCTTCCTTTGTCATTGGCTTCATAGCCTGGATTCGGGATTTTTGTTCGTCTGTCAAAACTGGAACGCATCAGTTAGAGCCGCGCTGGCGGGGCCGGCTCCTGGCCGAGGGGCACAGCCCCACGCCTGGGGGGACACACGCCTGCCACGCCAGCGTGTGCTGGTACTCGGGGGTCAGTGAGGACCCCCCAAAAGGAAGGGCTGCTCCACGTCCCAAAGCCAGGACCAGCTCTGCCAGTGTGTTACTGCTGTGTCCTTCCCTTCGGCATCTTTGTTCCCCGCTCACATCTACAAACCACAGCTAAACATGTCACAGATGCATCTCTGAAGGTGGCACCTTACGTTTATTTGATGTGGCTCAAAGGTGGCCACGGTACGTAGGAGGGAGAGTCCGGAGCTCCCCCCGACCACAGCCCTGCCTCCCTCAGACACCTCACGTGGGTCCCAGGGAGGGCAACATGCGAGCGTCTTTCCCCAGCGCGACGCTTGTGTGCCCTGGCTCCGGCAGGAGGGAAACGTCATCATTACCTGGTCCAGAGTCCACCAGTGATTCCTTCTGCCACTGCTCCAGCGAGGGGCCAGGCACCACTTCCCCCTTGGCTTTCTCCTCCTTAGCCCCTTCCTTTGACTTCTTCTTTGATTTCTTCTTTAGTCTCTTCTTCTTCTTCTTCTTCTTCTTCTTTTTGTCTTTCTGTTTCGCTCGCTTTTTTTTGCCATGTTGACTCTTCTTTGTTTTGGAGTCACTGTCACTGGAGTCATCAGAAGAGGAGCTGGAGGAAGAGGAAGATGAGGAGGAGCCAGTAGATGAAGATGCTGTCTCAGAGGAAGAGGTACTTGCCTTCCTCTTCTTTTTGTCCTTTCTTTCCTTCTTCTTTTCTGCAATAGATAAGAAAAGGTTGAGTGGAGCAGCTCCAGTCCCACAGCACTGGGGGTGCTGGTTTTTCCCCTCCCAGCCTGGTTTCTTCCTTGCCTGAACAGCAAAACCCCCAACGCCGGGGCAAAGTCCCCGCTGTGGTGACACCTTTAACACATCACAGTGTGCAGCACCACGCTGCCGGGGCGGCACCCGGAGGGGCTGTAGGGCTCCACACTTATCAAAACAAGACTAAAATCAGCACAAAGTGCACAGCAAGGTGACACACACCAATTTAGCTAAAGGCAGGGACCCCGTTCTCCCACCTGGGTCCCCTCTGTGCGCCTGCCCCAGGAAAATGTGGGGAACGTGCAGGGCCGTGGGCCTTTCCCCTACCTTCCCCAGCTGCTGCTGAGCTTGACTTGTGTCTGTGAGTCCCAGAGGTCCGCTTCTTCTTCGGAGGAGAGCTGCTGCCCCGGCGTGAGTCCTTGCTGCTTTTCCTCCTTTTCTTCTCCTTCCTCTCCTGTCTGCTCCGAGAATTGCTTTTGCTCCTGCTTCGCGATCGCTTCCGAGACTGGCTGTGGGCCATCATCCATCAGCCCCTGGAGGGAACAGGTTACATCAGTGCCACGGGGGAGACCACCCTCACTCAGCAGCAAGAGATCCAGCAGCCCCCAACAACCTTAAATCCAACCCTGAGCCAACCAGCCCTGAAGACCTGTTCCTGTTAAACTCCCTCTCTGCTCCTGCCCGCTCTCGCTGAGCTCCCAGTGCACTGGGATAGGTTGGGGTTACCCATCCCAGTGCACTGGGATAGGTCGGGGTTACCCATCACGCCACTGTGGCCAAACTGGATTTCATCAACCCACAAACTGGAGCCCTCAGCAGAGAGCTGGGGCTGGGCAGGGACAGCACTGCCGTCCCCGGGCAGCCCTCGCCCGCCTCGACAACCACCTCCAAGCAGGTTCAGCATAAAACCTCCAACAGGCCTCCCCCACACCTCTCACATTTGTCCCCAGATGTGATGACTAAGAGAGAATCGGGGTGATCCCTGTCGGGGTTTGCAGGCAAGGCCGTGCCCCATGGCCCTGGGGACAACCCCCAGCAGCTACAGGCCGTGATGGCCCCACGGGGCTGGGGGCCGTCGGGAGGATGTTGCAGACAGACACGGGCAAGGTGTGATTGATGCTGCGGCACCAGTCAGCAGAACGAAACATCCTCCCCGAGATGAACACGGAGTCAATCACCCCGTTATTTAAAATGCCGGGAGCAGGCGCGAGCCAAGGGGAGGGATGAATTTTTAATATTCCAATTTGCTTTTAGAAAACAGATTATGCACTGAGCTGGCGTCCCCGTCCATCAGCCCGACCAGCTGCCAGCAGCCACAGGCCAGAGACGGTGTGATACATGCTCTCATTAATTTAAAAAACAAACCGGCACCGTGGGCAGAGCAGTATCTGGGAAATGCTTTCTCACAGCCACTCTCCAACTACTGCATTTAATTAATTGCGTGTTTACCACCTCGACATCCCCGAGTGGTGATTCGCTCCCAAGTGAATCAGACCTCTGATCGATTTCCAAACGGAAATTTCAACCAGAAAACAAAACAACACACAACCCAAAGCAATCAAGGACACGCAGGGAAGTTTCTGGGGATGTGTCCTTCATCGACGCCCACCCAGCAGCTGTCCCTCGCGCTGGGGAACGGTGTTTGGGTCTTGGGGCCACTCCACGGGACAGCAGGACCCGACTTTCTACAACCACAGCAGCAGGGTCAATGATGTGGAGCTGGGCACCGCCAGGAGCATCCCGGCGAGTCTGGGGTGACGCTGCAGGACGGGGACGAGCCCCGAATCCATCCTGGCAGCACCTCAGGCTGGTCACCCCCCAAAGCTGGGGTGTCACCTCCTGCCCAGCCGGCTTCGCCCAGACCCGGCCCTTGGCGGGGAGGCGGGAGCCCAGCTGCTGCTCTGCCCCTCTCACCCCAACATAGGGAGCCTGGGGTGTGCTGGCCCTTTAAGAGCTCAGCACGAGGTCTTCTGGCCCTTTAAGAGCTCAGCATGAGTCCCACTGACCCCTGAAGAACCTGCGCAAGATGTACTGTCCCTTTAAGAGCTCCGTACCAGGCGCGCTGTCCCTTTAAGAGCTCCGTACCAGGTGCGCTGTCCCTTTAAGAGCTCCGTACCAGG